GGGTGCGACAATAGAAGTGTGTCCATGCTTGGCGACGGACCTTTGTGGTGCATGTTATGCGTCGGCTATTATAACTCTTAGTTATGTGGTAATGCTAACTCTGGTATATGGAGTACTACGTCTCTAGTTTGCTGGGTGTCCAACTAAATAGTGACTGGACTCAAGGAATAATGAGAGAATTAGGAGGCGCTTCCTAACAAAGTATGTATTTATACCTCGCATGACTTTGTTAACTATTTCTTGACCCAAGTCGGTTTGAAGATAGCATTCAAGGGATTTGGCTTCCGAGAACTAAGTATTCCAGAGAAAGACCAAGGGTTGAAAATTCATCTTATTGTCTGGCTTCTCTTATGTGTGTCAGCTAAAAGGTGTGGCAAGTTTGCTTGACCGTGTTGAGAATCGTGAGTACCTACCTATAACTATAGGCCTTTCGGTTTCTTCGCTTATAATGGTATCAAAATACGCTCGTGAATAAATGATCAAAACTCAGCATCAATTTCATGATTTCCTGCCACGTGTATTTTTTGGTCAGTAGCCGTGAGATCTGAGTATACTAGCTCTTCCACCTGAGTCTATATGTCTATACTTTTGGTTAATATTCCCAGAAAAGCTTGAATTAAGCTTGAAACTCGTATAGAGTATCTCAAAATTCCTTCAAGTTTGACATTTATTTAAGAAAGAAGATATAAGTATACATGAACTATTGGAGAATCATGCAAGCGTATGCAAATGGCCCAACGTTAGTGCTGAAACTGGATCTCCCCAAGCGGGTCTGTCACACCGACTCGACTTGAGAGGTTGACATAAAACAGATAAAAAACAAGTTCAAAATATTAGACCAAAAAAACAGAAGTTGAAAGAAATATATGAAATTATATAGATGTAGATAAGAAATTGCATCATCTCGAATACCCGACGTCACCATGGCAGAAGGCGGAGAGAGAGAAGGTGAGGAAGCTCAGTGTGCGTCCATGGGTGTGAACTCGTCTCCCCGCTCTCCCCAGCCACCGTCTTATCTGTCGCTTTCCACAATTTCTACCTTTTGTTTTTCCTTCATCTCGAGTATTCAATTCTATCACCCATCCCCTTCACTGTCATCCCGGTGCAAAAAAGTTATGGCTCCTCCTCCTCCTTCCGCAACCTTGCCTCTGGTTGAGAGACTTAAGGCCTTGGCGCAGACCCTACAGTGCGTTTCCCCAGTCCGATGCTGAAGTGACCCTTCAATGCCTGGTTTATCAATACTAACGAAATGCCACGTTGCAGGTTTGCCTGGTTCGTTGGGTAGGTCAATATACTGAAGCGCATACCGATGAAAGACCTGAGTTTAGGGTCACTAACAATTTCTAGACATGTGACACTTTTGCTCTCCGTCTTCCGCTACTCCCTGTCCTGCATCTTCTTCAACTACTACTCCTCCTCGGCCCAGATCGCCTACCGCCTGACCTTTATCTCGGCCGCCGTGACTTATGGAATCGTCGTGTACAAGGGCCACTTCGCCCGGGGTGTACAGGGCAGCCCTCTGGCAATTGTGATGAAGCTTATCTCTGATGAGAATGTGCAATACCTTGGTGAGTGATCGGCGATGCGACACTCCAAAATTCAAGCTTACACGTATCCTAGGAATGGCTCTGGTCTGGCTGTACTCGCGCCAGCTCATCCTGGCTCTTCTGCCTTTCAGTGTCTACTCGGTCTTCCACGTCGCAACCTACAGCCGCATGTACTTGATCCCTACCCTGCAGCCCGCTGCTCCGACCGGCCCTACCTCTCCCACTTCCCCCAGCTCCAAGCCCGCTGCCAAGCAGTCTCCCCTCGCCGAGACTATTGGACGGTTCATCAAGCAATACTATGATGCCAGCATGGGTGTTGTCGCTACTCTGGAGATCGCCCTGCTGTTCCGCCTTGTTCTGTCCGCTATCACTTTCTCCAAGGGTAGCTGGGTGCTCCTGGTCGTCTACCTGTCTTTCTTCCGCGCCCGCTACGCGCAGAGCTCCTTCGTCCAGCAGGCTGTTCGCCAGCTCACCGCCCGTGCCGACGCCACCATCTCCCACCAGAGCACCCCTCCTCAAGTTCGCCAGGGCTGGGAGACCCTCAAGGGTGTTGTGCGCCAGGGCTACGAGGCCACCGATATTGGCCGCTACATCTCTGGCCCTACTGCAGCCAAGAAGCCGCAGTAAATGTCGCTATGGTGATTTGCCAGACACCTTGCTTTGCTAGCTCGAGCTCATGACGTCAGGAAAGGACGTGGGTTTTCGGTTTGCAAGATTGCTGAATGAAGGTGGCTGGTGGAAGACATAATATTACCGCTTTATCTTTCCCATTGGCATGTTCCCGCCTGAGCGAAGAACATGGAGGATGTCGGAGTACGGGACGTCCAGGTCCCGACTGTAGAAAAGAGGCGGACACGGAGGATTTCCGCTATGATGATGCTATACGCAACGACTTGTGTTTATTATTTCTAGAGTGTTGCGATGCATAGTTTTTGTATTTGCTTCCCTCTTGTCAACATACCTTGTTTCGGATTCATTTCATTTTCCAACATAGAGATTTGTAGAGATTCACTAAATATAGCATAGGAAACAACTGAACAGGAAATCTCATCCCCATGGAAGGGCGCTGAAACAGATTGAACAATGAATTTGTCAAAAATGAGCAGCATGGGTAGACGTGTATGATAATATCAAGGGCAACTAATAAGCTCATTTGCGGATTTTATAGGAACTAATCATCTCGTATCCTTGCACACATGGGAAGAAAACCACTTATTGCCATATGTTATTTCCACCATCATATCGCCCAGAGATTAAAATACTCCAATGACGAAATCCCGTGATTCATGCCTGAGGCGGTAGATCGGGCTTGGCGGCGAAGATAGGCCGATCAGAATTTTGGCTGGTGGAACAATCATCTCGCAAGCAATATTAATCAATCCTTTCTCGATCTCTTGTCACTCTTTCTTCCTATACTTATCTCCCAGGGGTGCTCCTCTCCCGTTAAACCTCTCAGCACCCCCAATCTCCAACCTGGTCCCGACCAGTACCGCCCGGAGATTGCAGTTTAGCATAATATTGCCATGAGCTTGACCTCGCGGGTGTTCGGCCTGTTCTCGACAGCGAACTCGGACTCAACAGCACTACCTGCGGGGGATTTCCATACCTCGACATGGACACATTCAACTCCAGTGGGTGGAATCGATGACTCAAACCATAGCATTCGAAATGGCGACCTCGCGCCGTTGGAGGACGAGGAGCCTCGGCCTCCATACCTACATGTACAATTGTCCCCGGTGGCATCACACAATTGCGCAAGGACTGACCTGATTTTGAAATTATAGGCGATGTTAGCTGGTGGTACCGGAGGAACATGTGGCGACATGTTGATGCACTCATTAGACACAGTCAAGACCCGACAACAAGGCGATCCGACCTTTCCGCCTAAATACACTTCGATGGGCCAGTCATATTCAACAATCTACCGCCAAGAAGGATTCTGTCGTGGATTATATGGAGGAGTAACGCCGGCCCTGCTCGGCTCGTTTCCGGGAACTGTGATCTTCTTCGGCGTTTATGAATATACCAAGCGCTTGATGATCGACTCAGGGATCAACCCCAGCATCGCCTATCTCTCAGGTGGTTTCTTTGCCGATTTGGCTGCGTCGGTTGTCTACGTGCCATCCGAGGTCCTGAAAACGCGACTTCAGTTGCAGGGCCGGTACAACAACCCACATTTCAACTCGGGCTACAACTACCACAACATGCGAGATGGGTTCCGCCAGATCGTCCGCATGGAAGGATTTTCGGCATTATTCCACGGCTACAAGGCCACTATCTTCCGCGACCTTCCATTTTCAGCGCTCCAGTTTGCATTCTACGAGAAAGAGCAATCCATGGCTAAACAATGGGTTGGAAAACGGGATATTGGACTGGGATTGGAGATTTTGACAGCTGCCACGGCCGGCGGTATGGCTGGTGTGATCACCTGTCCGATGGATGTGGTTAAAACACGAATCCAAACCCAGCAAAACCCCCTAGAGCCCCCATCTGGTTCTTCGGGTGCCAAACACTGTGTTGAGCACGTTCCGAAAGAAAGTCCACGGCCGCATGCACCGGCATCATCACATCCCCACCCTTCCCGGTCACACTCACGACCAATCTCCACATCAGGCGCAAACACATCAATCCCACCGCCGGGTACGCCCCGACTTGACACTTCCTCCGTGTTTACTGGATTGAAGATGATCTACCGAACGGAAGGTATTGCCGGGTGGTTCCGTGGTGTGGGCCCACGCGGTGTATGGACTAGCATTCAAAGCGGGACTATGCTGGTTATGTACCAGTACCTGCTCAAACAACTCGAGGCCTACCAGGTTCTGGAAGAGTGTTTGTAGGGCCTTTCATCTAACTGCATGCATTTCCAAGGTTGCTGTTCTTTTCACATATTTTTTCTTTTTTTTTGTCATTGGGAAATTGGGGCGTTGGATTCTTTGTCCCGATTTGGGATATTATGACCCTGGGTGCTATGAGCACTTTGTATACTGTGTACCCTACTCTGTGATAGACTGACTATTAGACTGGCTGCGGCCTCCTGTATCATAACCTTTTTCTTTCAACTCCATTATTATATATATATTGACAGATTCTGGCATATTCTGGCATATTTTGACAATAGGTTTCCTATTTCGTTTGTGAATATATTTGCTACTATTCAAACAAAAAAAGGCCAAAATAGATTATTGAATGTCAAAAAGAAACCATAAAATCTTTCTATTATACAACCTTGGTTGCCTATCCATTCAAGAACTAAAAAAAGAAAGAAAAAAAAGAAAGTCCAACAAAGAACTGGAATGAACAAAGGAAGTGGACGCGCTGTGTTTTGTTTTGGCGATCGGCGGATGTAAACAATTACCGACCACTCCCCTCCCTTGCATCTTCTTTCCCCCTCCCCCAGTAATTACTTTCTTATTTCACATTGGTCCAATTTCCTACGTTGATATAGGATACATTATGTCTCTTCCTTATCTCAAGTCGCTGAAAAAGCCCGAGTTAGCCGAGTTGGCTGATCAGACAGACCTGCCACAGTAAGTGCGATTGCGATTGTCGCATAGAGTGAGCTAATCAAACCTATAGCTACGATGACTACAACAAGAATGATCTTGTGGTAGTGCTGGACAGGCATCTCCGTGAAAACCGCTCTATCTTCTCCGGACTGGAGAGCCTCAATGAATATTACTCGCGCCTGGCCTCTCCACCCCGCAGAGGATCGCCCGTGAAGCGCGAAACCACACGAACTCCGGCGAAAACCCCAGCACGCCGCTCTGGAAAGAAGGAAGTGAAAGAAGAAATTATGTAAGAATGTCCCTCAACGCGCCATTCTATCTATTACCATCGCGCACACCCTAACCCACGGATTAGCGAGGATGTGGAAGAAGCCGTCGAGCCCAGCCCAGTTGTAGTCAGCCCGACTCCAGCTCCTGTGGCGCGCACGAGCGTGCGCGAGTCTGCGCGCCAGACACCCCGCCAGACACCACGCCAACCAGCAGTTTTCCCAACCATCGTTGACCCCGAGCCATCACTCCCGGCGTCTCCAGCTGCCATTACCGAAGTCATCGATGCGCAAACGATCAAGCTGCGCGAGAGCCTTCATAGTGCATGGACTGCGACGGGCTTTGTAGACCGGGCGCACTCTCTGCGCGCAATGCTGAGCAGTGTGAAGGCGATCGAGATCATTGTGCTGCTTGTTGAAAGTGGCAGTCTTGCGAAAGAGTTGATTCCGATACGCTACATTACTACTACACCCCCGTGCAAGCCGCGCAGATCCCTGCGATCCCCATCCGTGTTCCTGACCTATTTGGCTTGCTGGAAGTAGCGTTCTGGGCGCCGGTTTCGCTATGGTTCCTTACTTGTCTGTTCTTGCCTTTGATTTCTGCCTACTTTATCAACTTGAGCTGGCAAGCTTCTAGCAGTGCGCGTCGCTCCCGGTCTGCCTCTAATCTTGCTCAGTTTGATCCGTTGACTTTCAACATCGTCAAGGCGTTGCTGGTGCACATGGTGTTCGGAAAGGACTTCAACTTCTTTGGTGTCTATAGCCTGTCTGCTATCGGGAAGGTTCTTGACTCCGTCCCTGGTGGAGATGTCGGTCTCTTTACTGGATCTGCTATCGGCATTGTTGGGGCTCTGTACGAGGCTATTCTCCATCGCTCGTAAGAGACTGGATATGACTTTTCCGAGGATGTACAAATGATCTGCCCAGGTGGTAAGGAATGGTTAGTCAGCGGTCAGTGGCTTTGGATGAATGTTATCCCATTCGTCTCCATGGTTGTTTTTATTTATTTTTGCTCTATGGGTTCAATCAAGTTTTTAGTCACTGGTATCTGGATTATGCGGTATGCGGTATTGGGTCTCTTTTTCTTCTTAGTCTCTCGTTCCAGCCAGAGAAGGCGCCTTGGGGTTCTTGTCCTGGTTTTGTTTTGGTTTTGTTCTGATTATCTTTTGGGGAGATTCTTCTCCGTTTTCTCTTCTAATGACCGATTTATTATTTTCCAGTCAGTGACAGGGGTATCAGAATGTAGTAGTATGTGTATAGTCGAGTTTACCCATGTTGCGGACGGCTTTCTAATGTCGGCCTAAGCCTTGGTTGGTGAGAGCCAATCTAACATATATGTTGCTATGGGTGGGCTGAACCGCAAATTTGTGACAGCGATATGTGACTGATAGCCTCGGCCAGCGAGATTCGAGAAGATCTGGATAAATTGTGGTATTTAATCTCATGCTTCATACTTACAGTCACCTCTTCAGCCTCTCCGCCAATTCCACTGTGAACAAAACCGGAACAGAGGTTTCAACCTCCACCTTGTCAGCGCGGATATGATTGCTCGTAGACATTTGCCCTCCAATCTCGGTATGCCAATCCTCCACATCCCATTCAAAGCCATGGGTTGTAATCTTGGCAGGCGATGAGAGGGGGATAATCCCGATATTCTCTTCAAGATAGTATTCTTGTTCTGGTTCTTGCTCCTGCCCTTGCTCCTGCCCCTGCTCTTGCTCACGCTTCCGCTTTCTCGGTGACTTGCTTTCATCAGACGCCGACGCTGTTGCGATGTCTGCTCGTTTTGTTGCGGGTGTGTGGATTGTATTCTTCCCCGTCTGGATAATGAAGGTAATGCTTTCCTCAGAGACGAGATAAAGGTTACCACCGGCAGCTGGCTTGACATTGGAGCTTGGGGTGTTGGTTTCGGTTTCACGGATTGAGCGCTGGGTCTGTGTCATCATGTACAAATGGTGAACTTGGGAGAAGGCTTGATCCACACGGCCACCCAACCCACCGAGGATCACAATTTCCAGAGGTGATTGATCAGATGGTGAGGTTGATGTGCTTCCGTTTGTGCCATTGGTGTCTGATTTGGTTGTGCTTGCTCCCTTCCTGGGAGAAGCTATGATCTCCGCGGCATGTTCGTTAAGATATTTCAGACATTTGGTGAAGTCTGTTGAGTATTGGTCTGGATCTTGGAGGACGGACACTCCGAGTTTCTCATAGTATTCTCGCACTGCGGGGCGGATAGAATCAAGGTCGCCGACAATGGAGTCAGGAAGCTATCTCTCTGGTCAGCTTGATCTTCGTTGTGTAGTAGTTGGTTCTTAAGTTGTAGTTCAGAAGGAGTACACAAATAGTAAAGTCCATAGATATCGCTTACTTGTTTAGATTCTGTTTCATTATCTTCCGGCATATCAAAAAGCCGATTGGCACCTCCATCGGCGCAAATAATATAGGATGCTGCATGGGTATTAGTATTTCGTATCTTGGACATCGAATTTTTGAAACATTCATACAGAAACTTACCGTATTTGCTTAATACTCCGAAAGCTTTCTCATTGATGGGCTGATTGAGGATGAGAAGAGCATAAGGCGAAGGACTTCCCTCAGGACGGAAGAATCGGCTGGGATCCCACTCCATTGCAACAGATAAATACAAGTCAAATTGAACTTGTCTAAAAGATGCAAACAAATTAAGAGAAATCAAGCTTGAAGGATTGCGTGGTGACGATATTATTATCTGAACTTAAGCTGCAACGTGACTGGCTGACACGGGCAGGACAACCTCAGGCCAAAATCCACATCGCTTTCCAACTTCTCCATCCCGCGGTGCCTCGACTCCCCTCCTCTCAATCCGTCCTTGGAGGAACTCTCGGTCAATTCGATTGATTCCCACACATCTCACACATAATGTTCCGCCCCGCCGCTCGAGCGCTCGCCCGCGCGCCCACTGTCGCAGCCCGTACACCTGCGAACAGACGATTGATAAGCACCGGTCCGACAAAGTCGAGAAGCTGGAAGAACACCTTCCTGCGATTGGGCTTGGCTGGTGGTGCTATCTACTACTACAACACGAGCAGTGTTTTCTCCGAGGAGCCGAAGTGTATGTCTCGCCGATTGGAGTTGGGATTGCCCTTGTTCCTCGATTCCGAGGCTGCGAGCCGCGACAATCCCGTCACCGTCAAGGATGACGAGTTCTGGGAATCACAAATCGCTAACTCTCCTTCTATTTGGATTTAGTCTCTATCCTTTCTTCGATCCGGAAACAAACTGGTGACGATGCCAACCCCAAGACCCTCGACTCCATTACTCCCAAAATTCGCGAAGAACGAGCTGCCGCGCAGTCCCAGAAGACCGAGTCTGCTGCTTTGGAAGGTGGTCTGAACCCCGAGGAGCTCCAGGAGGAGGCTGGCCAAGAGGCTGCGTTCAACCCAGAGACCGGCGAGATCAACTGGGACTGCCCTTGTCTTGGAGGCATGGCCCATGGGCCTTGCGGAGAGGACTTCAAGGCTGCGTTTAGCTGTTTCGTCTACTCCGAGGAGGAGCCTAAGGGCATCGACTGCGTTGATAAGTTCAAGTACGTTTTTTCTATCGTTTTATTGTTTTTGAGGGGGTTGGTCTCGTGCTAACAATTTTTGCAGGGCAATGCAAGATTGCTTCCGCCAACACCCCGAAGTCTACGGCGCCGAGCTGGAGGATGACGATGAGCCCCAATACCAATCCGATGCTCCCGCCCCCTCCGAAGTTTCCGCTATCCCCGAAGTTACCCCCCACTGCCGCCGAGGTGGATGCGTCTTCGCACCCCACTGAGAAGCAGACCCGCGCCGAGGAAGTCCACACCCAGGTGAAGGCCGAAACTGCTGCTCCAGGCGAGAACACCGAGGGAGACTCCATCATCCCCAAGGCTGCGCATGACACCGAGGAGAAGAACGAGGCCAACAAGGCTTAGAGCTGACCTCTCGAATCCTGCATCCTGTTCGACGCCACCCTCCCCTAGAGACAAGCCTACTACTTGATATCTTTTGTAATGCACATCAGGGACTGGGATTGGAGTTGTGTATTATATAGACCTTTCTGCTATCTCTCCATCTCCCATTTTGCCTTTGATGCATTTTCCCCTCCGTGATCTTTCAGCATATCCATTCCCCGGTCTGCGCTCTGCGTTCTTCCTGATACTTTCCCCCGTCAATGTGTAACTTTTTGTACTGATATGCTTCACGCTCTTGTCCCTCGGATAAATAAAAGAAGGAGGGGAAATCGAATAGACTTGTTGCATCATATGGATTGCAGCATAGAACCTTTTGCATAAAGGAACCAACAAGGAAGGTTTCCAGTGGGAAATCCAAGTTAATTGGTTATATGAAGAGATTAGACAGTTTTACAATCTACATTCTGTTTAGTGTACTACTTAGTATATTATTTAACATCCAGTCCTGCCGAATGTCACCTATTGCAACAATTCTTGCCTCGCCATATATTGATGAAATCTTCGACCAACACTGGCCCCATTCCATAATTCTTCATCTCTTCCGTTGCTCTTCTCCGGCATCCCTACCTGCTCCAGAGCAAATGAAGCTGCAATAGATCCATAACAAGCCGCTTCAAGGATATTACCCATTCCTTGGAGGTATCCAATGGCATAGCCTCCCAGAAACGCATTTCCAGCCCCAGTCGGATCAACCACTTTGGAAGCATGCTCTTTTGCCATATCTGCCGTGTAAAATGGAGGTAGCCATTGAGAAGTGATGTCACGCGATTGAACGAAACAACCGTTCTCACCAGCTCGAATAACCACCGCGCCTTTTCCTTCTGGGCCGACTCCGCTAGCTAGGAACGTCGAGCCCAACCTTTCAATCTCAGATCTATTGGATGATGCAACCGGGGTTTGCTCAAAGAATGCCGCCAGCTCTAAGTGATTTGGAGTAAACACGTCGACTAAAGCGGCGGCTTCTAGACAGGCTTCGAGGTTCTCCGGTTTGCATGATAGAGGGGCCGGCTCCCAGATTATCAAAGGTCGATCTAGTATACCCTCCTGCTTTCGAAGCGCGAGAAGATTTCGAACGCGCGTTTTCATATCTTGCGGACTGGCGAGATAGTGATACACCTTCGACGTTAGCAAGGCGGTGTCCTGTAACTTGTTTTCTTGAACTGTCAGAACCGGCGTGGTGTACTTGAAACTCTTGTCTAGAAGAGAAGTTAAAAGTCAGTTCATTTCTGCATGTTTCACGTGCTGGTTCGGTGAGCATGGAATTCGATTCATAAAAGTGTGGCAGGGATAGAAGGGTACATTAGAAGGGATTTCGCACGTCCGAATGTAGTATCTTGGTACTCCAGTAAGCCTCGAGTCGAGGGCATATCTGATTCCCTTTCTATAAGCAGGCTTGTATCCCAGCTACGCAAGTGCTCTGCAATAGCGTCTGGAAAGTCATTTCCAACATGGATGGGCCAAGCCAAGGAGCGGCTGAGCGGCGAGGGTAGAAACAAGCGAGCACCGAGGGTTGCTAGAAAGAAGAAAAAGGTCGATTAGAAATCTGGAATCTGGTTGCTTGACTGCTTGGTATAGTGTATACGGAGTATAGTGTAGGCAAAACTAACCATAAGCTCCGGACCCTCCTAGTACATTGGTTAAAGGTTTCTGGTTGGGAAAACGAATCTCGTCAAGCACGACCAAGCCAAAGCTTGTGAAAGAAATGCTGTCCATGTGAAAATGGCCCCAACCCACTTTTTCTAAGAGAATACAATCGATATTAAAAGTCTGTTTGATTGTCTGAGGTCGAAACAAACAGGCCGGGGACGGAGCGGAAATTGTGTTCAGTCCGCCTAGTGGGTACCCGTAGACTGCAACAGGTTGATTGACTCCGGTGTCTCTTTCATGAGGGAAAAGGTGTATGATCCTGTGCACTTCTTATGTATGGAGACCATATTTAGTATACCAAGCAAGCAGCTTATACACTTTGATAATTTTCATTTGACATCCACATGAACCATTTTATTTTTGTGATTATATCTTGCCCTAGATTTGAGCCTTTGGGTTTATATAATGTTAAGTGAATACGATTAGAATTACTTCTTGGACCATCTTTGTTCTTTCAGACCCCAAGCCATACTTGATTTCTCATGTTCTTGCCAATTTATATGGTCCATACTAGTACCTCCCTCAGATGGGTATCCCATTGCTACTGTGGGGAAATGTATAACTTCGTAATTTGTTGATCCTTGCAAGGATTTTCTTCCTGTATATGGAGTACTTTCAAGCCAACTCGCATTCAATCAAACTCTCAGCACTATCAAGCGGCGTCCAGATTTTAGTAATCTTGAGTCCAACTGGCTCAATAACCTGATGCCACTGCTGTTCAGTCCGCTCCTTGGCAGCAAGATCCACCATCATTATCAAGTCCAGAGAAGTAGCCTGCCAGTGGGCCCCGGTATTGGGGATAACGTTCTCGTTGATTAGCAACTTGCTGTATCCCGGTGTCATCGCAGCAACCAATCGTGACAGGATTTTCTGACAAGTCTCGTCGTTCCAGTCATGCAGGACGGAATGCAAGAAATATACTCGCGCACCTAAGTAGACATATGTCAGCCATTGGTTAATGTTCGAAGTGCGCCAATCCACTCACCCTTGATGGGTTGTTCCTGGTAGAAGTCGTGGACCATAGGTTTAATTGCGGCGTTTAACGACTCGATATCTTTCAAAACGTGTGGCTGGTCTTGCAGGATCAATTTGCCGGGTGTGTTCGGCCACTTCGATATGAACTCCTCCAGATCATGCCCTTTGTTTCCGCCAACGTCCACGATGAAAACGTCTTCTTTGCCCGTCTTTGCTCCCTCGATGAGAGTTTGTACCGGGTAGAAGTTCCCATCCATCCAGCTGGGTCTGCCTTGGTGATAGGCCGACATGAGATTGTTGAATTGAGCACCGAGTTCAGGATAGTCGGGGTTCTTGCCGGTAAGAAATTCGAAGAAGTGATGGTTGGTTTTGAATCCTAGGGTAAACGGACAGTCCGTTCCTTCGGTGGGACTTCGATAATGGTTTTTCTTGAGCCAGGTGGGAAGTGCATTGATTGCTGGAAGGGTGCATCCATTACTGCCGGCGAAAACATGAAGTCAGTAAACAAGTTTAGATGAGGTGGAGATTCCACGGATGGAATTACCTACATGCACGGCCAAGCATCATTGTACCGCTTAATAGCGAGTGTCGTGGTTAGCCCGTTCCGGCCATACTCATCCATACCAGTCTCAACAAAGACCCCCATTGTGACGAGATGCTTCATGATGCGACCTTCACAATAATGAGCGTAATGATTATCTGACTTGGAAATGGTCACTGACCGAGAAGTTCGGGTTCCGCGCCTGTTGTTGCTGCGAGCTCTGCCACGGTTTTAGGCTTGTCCGTCTGCGCTAATATGAAGAAGATTCCCAGATCAATACAAATTTCAATGCCGGCAAACGCTGTGGGCTATTACACAGAAATAACCAAGTAAGCATTCTCAATTTCTGAACCAAGGTCTTCTTTGCTCTGACGCACCTGGGCCCAGCAGTATCGGAGCATAGTCTCCTGGGGTGTTTCCATTGCCTGTACGAGAGACCGGGCTGTCTCCAGAAGCTTCAGGCGCGCATAACCATCGCCATTGTTGTAATCCTGGGAATGAGATTCAATTTCCTTTTGCAAATGCGCAAGTTTCTCGGGAGCACTGGGCGCAGTGGCAACTTGAGGATCAATCATGGCTGCACCATGGCCATTAGTTGTAGATCCGTTTGATACATCGGTGACTGTCATTTTAGAAATTTGTGAACTAGAAACACTTTTCACGGGGATGAAATAGCAAAATTAGAACTGAAATATAGAGATATCTTCAATATTTGGCTACAACATATATAAGGGGGATTGGGATTGCGATCCATCCTACGCGAATGCCATCGTTTGAGTATGGGTTCCACTATGGAGCACTAAAAGCCCGATAGCATCTCATGCATAGTTAACCATGCGACAAATTGTCCGCGGAGTAATGCCATAAAAGGGTTATTCCGTCATCCCGTTATGTGTCTATTGTATTCTTTCATTTATTCGGTCTCGTCCAGAGGGTCGAAGAAATTGAGCTAATCCGACTAGATCACTTATTGGTCGATAACCGGGTAGGATCATCCCATGTCTAAGAATTTGTGCATGTGGATCCACGATATAGGACGAAAATGTATATGAGGTGCTGGGATCAGCACGCTAAAACTACGCCCTGTTACATCGGTGATGGATTGAAACCTCACAGGATTGTAATGCCTGTAATGCATTGTGGCCTGTTAATATACGCTAGAGTAGACTAATGAAATATCTATATTGTCAGTTTTTAAGAAGAAATGTGGACCTGTTCTCACATACAGTCTTACAACGAGATGATCCCCGAACGGGATAATCCCTTTGCTTTGTATTTTCTTTTTTTTTTGCCGCTCAAAAGATCCTCGACTCCTTTCGATCTTATGAAGATTTCAGGCACTGCGATTGTTAATTGAGATTCAGATCTTGAAATAGACGCCCAGTATGGCGGGTTCGACCACGGATGCCCCCAAAACGGGGAACAAAGGCCCAAAAATAATGGCGGTAATGTGGTCAATGACAACGCTGGCTACGTTTCTCGTTATCGCTCGTTTATGTGTTCGGCAACGCATGTTACGAAACTTCGGGTTCGATGACTGGTTGATTGGAGCATCTATGGTGATTATCCCATCTGTTTTGCATATGCAAAATATCCTGGACCAGAATTTCTGACAACTGCGACTACTTCAGATATTCGGCCTACTTTTTGTTGCAACTACGACAGTCTCAGTGACTTATGGATACGGACAACACAAGATAAATCTTGAACCTAGGTCCGCCGAGCTTGCCCTCATGTGGAATATGATCTCGTTCATTTTCGGAATTATATCCTTCGCAATACCGAAGCTTGCGGTTGCCGCACTACTCCACCGAATACTGAACCCAAACCTCACCCAACGCATCATAGTATGGGGTCTTGTTAGCTTGATTGCTGTCATTGCCATTGTCAACATCCTGATCTATGTTACCATGTGTGATCCACAACAGGCACTTTGGAAGAGCTCCATGATATTGAGCGGGGAGGCGAAGTGCAGGGATATTTGGATTCTTATAAACTATGCCACATTTAATGGAGGTGAGCGGTGTTCGATTGGTCTCACTATTCTCGTGACAGTGTCTGATAACCGCCATGTATGTGCAGCTTTCTCCGCATTTGTCGACCTTTTCCTCGCAATTTACCCCGGGGTCGTTCTATTCAAACTTCAAATGTCATTGCGCAAAAAGATTGCTTTAACTGCTGCGCTTGGTCTGGGTGCAATGTATGGAAATCTGGCCATTGACCCCTTCAAGTGTCTCGAGGCTAACAAGTACGGTCAATCCCCAGTGCGGCTGCAACTGCAGTGGTCAAATGCGCTCAGATCAAAGGTCTGGCTGACCAGACAGATCCAACATGTTAGTTCTCCTTTCTGGGTTTCGTTATGACCTGCTTTCAAATGCTAATGCTGCCCCGTGAATTAGTTAGCACTGTATCTCTGGTGGTTTGGACAAAGTAAGACCTTGCATCTTCCAGACATGTCGGTATGATACTAACAAACCCCTAGTGTCGAAGCCAATGTCGTTGTCATTGCTGCCTGCATACCCACATTACAACCGATGCTCGAACTTATTCTGAGAAAACTGAAACTGGTTTCGACATCCAAGGGTCACTCCAAGCCATCATCTTATGCACAGCACAAGGTATACGACAATCAGCTGAGCTCCCGGGCTCACGTGTCAAAAAAAGAGAGAACAACTCCATTGTACAAAAATCAGAGCCAGGAAAGTATTTTAAATGACCTGGAGCAATACCAAATACGGCGCACAGATGAGGTTCACGTTGAATATGAGATGCAGCGATCGAAATAGGCTACTGACCACCTAACTGTACGATATACTCATGAAAATGATGGTTGGTTTGGATAACTATCAACTTTTAGACATCAACTATACATGAACTTTTCCTAAGCTATTACCTATGTCTAATCCACCAGCAGAACCTCGGAACACCACTACGAACGTCAACTAACCGCACACAGCCATAAAAATGAGTTGATAACTGCATCATAGGCCTATCGCAGCTCCTGACAAAGACATTCACAGGACCCTCAGACATGAAGACGGAGAGGAGACTATCTAGCTGATCCTAACAGATATAAGCAAAGTTGGTTTGGAAATAATTGATCCATTCAGATCGGGCGATAATATTCGCTCCGATAGAAAAGAAGGTACGAGGTAGCGCTTATTAAAGGTTCTATATGTAATGAATCTAAGCCACCCACTGCGTCAAAAGTCTGTACACCGAGCGATAGGCGACTCTAGACCTCTAAACCCGACAACCTAAGTGGTGAAATGCAACTCATTCACTCACAACAAGGTGGTCGCCCATCAATATAAATACACCGTCGAGATGCTAACTAATATTCAGACACACCAACAATCCGTAGACGATAATACAGCGCCACCAGCCGCCTTCTTCAGCTCATCACTGTGGAGCTTCTTCCAGCTGCCAAAGAAGCCAATGACGGTGGCAATACAAAAGGCGGCAATAGTAATTGCAAAAACAGCTCTCAGACCAACCATATAGGCATCAACAACGACAGGAACTTGCGAGCCCGTAAAAGCTTCGCGGATCTGAGTTACACGGTCGCAGTAACTACCGCGGGGTCGATCTCGGGGAGTTTCATGGCAATTGTTTGAATCAACTGGTTGTTGAAGGCGCACTGTGCTGCTGCAAGAAAGAAAGCTCCACCAACGGTCATGAAGTCTGGCATTACTGTTAGGGGACAACTCGTGAATGGTACAGTAAGTTAAGGACTCACAATTGACGATAGCTGTAGCCTGCGACATGTCCTCTGGTGAAGCATGGACTTGCGCGTTTGAAATGGCAGTCTGGAATGACCAGCCCGCGCTGAAGCCAACAATAATCTGATACCCAATCCACTTGCCAGTAGATGTTTCAGTACCAAAAGTATAGAATAGGCCACAGCCGATGGCTCCCAAAGCGCCACCTATGATCCAGAACAGAGGTACAATGCGGATTTTGGATAGGGCGAAACCCTGTACGATGGCAGCGATGGTTAACGGGATGATTAATGCAAGCATTTTGACACCAGATCCGATTGGACTGCTGTTATAGACACTCTGGAAATAGATCGGAAGATAGTAAAGGATGATGAAGTAGGCACCGCCGAAGAAGAACATGAATATGGAGCCCACAGAAATGTAGGGTTTCATAAACTACGGCCATTTTCGGGCGCAAATGCCAGCCGTGAGATTTTGAGCCGACAGATTGCGATCCGTACGTTCAACCCAGTCACGGCCGGCTGTCGGATGGGTGATTTTATAGCTCTGATTTCTGGTATGAAACTGATGTTGGCTCACATCTTGAGCCACTGTAACAAGGGCACGGAAAACCTACTCGTACACCACCGAGTTGGAGATCGAGCGACGGTGGAACGGGCTCTTGGGTGTATGGAATCCATGTCGGAGCTACATGAGGATGTCCTTACGGCGAAACGTGCTGCCCTTCTTAAGAACTTGTTGGATATTGAAGCGGGGCCCGCACAGAGGTACTCGGATGTTGGTCAAGAAAACGACCAAAACGTGTTGGTAGTGAAGGTGCCGTACGTTGGTGCCATCAGAATTGCGCGAGACGGTATTTCTATTACGCCCTTCGACGTAGAGCAGGAGCAAGTTCCCCATGAGGGTGTGACTATTAGTGGCTTTAGATCTATCCATGTCAGAACACCACAAGACGATGCAGCCTCACGAGGAACCACACAGGCAATGAGGACATCGGCACGGAAGCACGGAGGACAGGTTGTCCAGGCCACGTCTGGAGATCTTTTCGCGCTGCCAGAAGAGGCATTTCCGGATGCTTCTGCTGACATGGAAGATTGGCATTTTCAAGGCCTTGACACTGCCTTCTTTGATGTGCTGATGAGCGGAGCTGGGGAGCCGTTGAACGGCACGGACACTGAAGGATGGAATTTTACAATTTCCCCATGAATGATGATAAATTAATGATTTGGAAACTCCAGGGGCTTTCCTGATTTGCTTGGTCTGAACGTTGATTCTCAGAGTCTTAATGCAGGCTAATATCTACAGGCAAATGTCGTCGTTATAATCCCACTGAAAATTGAGCAAGTACTATAATGTTTATATAAGCTGAGAAGCCTAGCCCTTCTATCCTTCTATCTGCGAGTTTAAACCGTTCTTGAACAAAAGTACATAATGCAGTTAGTTATCAATGCCCGCACATATTGTTTGAATACAGCCAGATTTCTGTTCAGATTGGGATGGCCTAGGCCCTAAACTCCAAGGTTGTTATGGTCTAGTGGTAAAATACGCCTAACTGCTGATCGCTTGGCTACTTTAGATTCGAATGTGGAGAACAATTATACCTTTAATCCTCTTTGGGACAAAATTTACGCTCTGAATGATAAATACCGTTTCGATCTACAACATCTAATCACCGACCCCCTGTTTAAGATCCATGCACGGCCTTTATTGCCTTTCTGATAATAGGAGAGTGCCCTGAAACGAACGAAGTAAGAAAAAGTATTAATAGGAGGAATGTTTTAGAAGGCCGGTTATATCGTTTCCTTAACCTGTTTCGGTTGGTAGCGAGTATACATAGCTTCGAGGAATGATCTTCAGGTAGGTTTAGTTTAGGTTATAGAATCATAATAGGTATTATAAAGATGGGTGTATTGAGCCGGCATCGTTCCACCAACGATCATCCACAGAACCAGGTGCTTGCTCTATAAACCTCGTCTCATCCCCCACTCTTTGGAAGTTGGCTGGTTTAAAACGAACCGTGATCAAATTCTCGATTTACTTACTCACTAGTGCCCCAAAGGCAAATATGGAACCTCCCTTTTTCATCTCCCACAACACCCCTGCTATCAAGCCGGTCCATACTCTCCTCGAGTCCAGTAACTATAACCGCTCGCCGCAGCCTCATCTGTCTCTGCCACTGCCACTTCCGGTCAAGGAGCAGCCCAAATTCTCGCTGCCGTCTATATCGACTCTATTCGGGGATGCCGATAGTGCTCGGCACGCAGCCAGTGAGTAATTCACTATCATATCAATATATCAATCTTATCAATCTTATATTAAGCAACATAACTAACCTATCCTTAGAGCACCGACGACTTTCTCCATCTGGCCCTAACCAAGACATTCAGTGCCAGCCCTACGAACTACCCCCGCCACCATCACTGCGTTTGCGCTCCGGCAATAACCACAGCAAGAGCCACCACTCCCCCTCAGGGCCTAACACCAAGCCGGATACACACCCGCACCGCTTCTCCATCTCCAGCACGAGATCCATACACCTCCCGCACAGCACAGCAGCACCATACGCTCCACCCACTCCAAGCGTTAGCTCCCACTCATCCCCCGTCGACGTACTTCAACCAACGAAGTATCACACCCGCCCTCCAGCAACGGCATCCTTCCAGCCCGCTTTGACAGTGACTGCACTGCAAAAGCCTCAGCCGCACATCCAGGCCCAAACGCAGCAGCAGCAGCCTAGGCGTCAGTCGTCTTCTGCTCTGATCTCCCCTGTTACTCTCGCTTGGCAGCACCACTATTACTTCCCGCCTTCCAATTCGGATGTCTGCCACAAGAACCGTGATCGCTATATCTGCCGCACCTGCCGCAAGGCTTCCTCATGCCCTTTTTGGCCACGCTCCCATTTCCACTCGCGTACCTGCGAGAAGTCATTGTCATTCCGCTGTACTCATGCTGGCTGTGGGAAGACTTCCTCTGTTCGCAATAATCTGAATCGTCATAAAAGGGACTATTGCTCTAGTCGGCCAACTGTTGGTACTGTCCTGGTGGTGTGATTGTCTTGTCGACCTACAGTGTGTTGGCATCAGTATTGGAGAAACTAAAGAATTCAACTTTACATATAGGGGCTCTGTTATGGTAATTCAGGTATTTTTCTTCTCTGTCAGCTTTAATGCAGGCATCCGAAGCTATTAGGCACCAATACCGTTACAAACTGCATCCGACCCCTGGCCACTACACGCCTGGGTAGATGGTGATTTTTATTGGATATTATGTTACGATACTCGGCAAAATGGTATTTACCATTCAGAGCGTAAATCTTGCCCCAAATTATTCTCCACATTGGAACATTAAGATTAAATTAGCCAAGTGATCAGCGGATGCCACATCTGTAATTCTATAACAGACGTAAAATTACACCCTTGGACAGAGTTTGATAACACAAAACATGTATGTTTGAAGAATGACAATTGGCCATAAACAAGCGTAAAGATAAACTACGTTCTAATAAAACCGGATTTCCGCAAAGGGGGTTCAACTCGAATGATGTTACCCACCCAGGTAGCCAGACAAGTCATATATCATGGAAGTGAAGCTTTCTCAATGAAATATTTACCGTGCTTGTTATAACCGCAGACAACCATGTCCACTGGATGGCTAATGTCCAACAACCTAAATTTTGGAATTTCTTCTGGAACCGCCGGCAATGCAATGATTATAGCTCGGCCTTCCTCCCAATATGCAGCAATTTGGGTGATAATGCGCTTCACGAGATGCGTCGGGTAGTGGGAGTGTTCGTAACCCCTCCCATTCATCTCAAGCTGTGGCCATAGGACATCCAAGACATAGGAGAAGATCTCATCTGATCTCCAAAGTAGCACCATTTGAAGCATTGTTTCTGCCAGGCTGAGTGTGTACACATCCGAGGTGTTCGAAATTTTGAAATCCACTATACCAGCAATTTGACACATGCTGCGCGCTAAATTGTCAAGCCGAGTCGAACGCTCATCCGCGACTGGAAAAGACCAGCAAACCGTATCTGCTCCATTTGCTTCTTCAAAAATGGTTTCGCATAGCAGGCAATACAGGGCATTTAAAGTATCTCGATGGGTTGGAAAACTTTGGCATATTGGAGAAAATGAGGTACGCCAGCTCATTTCCTTTTGTGTACCCAGGTCGGCAGGGGAACCTTTCGGTAGCTGATTGGCATTGAGTTGGGATCTCCACACCTCTAGTCGTTCCTTTTGAACCTCCAACAAACCCAGCAGGTGTGAACTTTGTACAAATCCTTCCCGAGCTTCGGCGTACTCCTCTGGTACACACTGCCTTCCCAACATTTTGTTCAGTATTTCGTACGCAAGGCTGCCGACCTCACTAGACATCTCAGATATCTGGCGACTGTCTGCAACGCACCGATATACTACCAATTTTGTCCGAATTTCCAACGTCTTGATAAGGATGTCGTATATCAGGTCGTCTGCACTCATTCCTAGGATACAGTCAAGATATAAGCGCTCGGTGATATCCGGAAGGAGATTAGGTCCAAGAGAACTAGCTCCTTGACCTTCCAGAAGCAAAGCAGGCGGCTTTGCTGGTCGGTGCGATGTGCACAAGCGGAACCACATTTGCAAAGAATCAGCGCCGTCCACCGAATCCATTATTTGTGTCCTATAAATTAAAACAAACCGGACGGAATCCATTACCGCCAATCGAAATCTTAGATGATTGGTCGATGCGTGATGGTAAAGGGCGATGAGGACGAGCGCAGCAAGGAACGCAGGTGCTTGACGCTTGACGTCATCAAGATGCGCGTTGCGGAAATGCCAGAGCGTCAAATCTTGATAATTTTGAGCATGGCGGTGGTGCAAGGCATTGACAAGCGGGCTGAAGATCGATCTTCGGCGATCGATAGTCGAAATGCAGCTCTGGACTCGCGCATCGAGCATCGACAGATTCGATGCGGATATACAAAGTATCGCAAACCGTAAACAGAGAGGTTGGAGAGATCCTTCTGTGAATCGAAGAGAAGCTGCAGGAAGAAGATGGCGGACATGTCTATGGAAATGGTTGAAGTAGCCAGCCTCATGGATGTCTTCTGAACTCGGAGTTATCGGGATTTTCGCGGAAGAAAATCCGCCGAGCGAGTGAAACGGGAAAGCAATATCGTTTGTGCCTGACGCGACGCTTAGTGTGCTAGGCTTTAGATCCGTCACTGGTCGAGGTGAAGTATTTTTAGCCGTAGTAAGCTCTTGCTGGAATGATGCACCATTCAGATTTCGAAAACTAAAATCGACACCATAACTGCAGTCCAGCGATAATCTTGCGCAGGCTTGGCAGCAGGGCTTTGTCTGATCGCACTGAAGAAGTTCAGAATATGGCTAACCAGGGACATAGGGAAACCACACTGACTCGCTTGCCTCTTCTGCGGCATGGTTTGCAACCTGTACGGGTACGTTGAATTTTAGGTAGATTGAGGGTCTCCGTAGACTGGACCTGTATCGGCATATTTGGCCTACAACATAGGTAGTCCCGCAATTAACAATGCCGAAAGTTGAACAAGACGGTTGTGCCAAGAGTCGTTAATAAGCCAAAATCTTATAGTTACCCGTACCTGCCAGATATGGAAGTTTATTACGCCATTACATGTATGGTATTACTGTATCAAAATAAGGTTTAGTGGCTCGGCTACGGAATACTTGAATTTGATATTACAACATATTTCTATGTATCCTGCTGCTTGGGGGTTGCTACTTACGGATTGTAACAGAACTTTCAAACGCAAATTTTAGACCCACGCAGTTAGAATATGCAAACTTGCACGTCTTCTGGGGACCTTGGGGACTGCCAGCTTCTTATTTGAAGCGCGTATAACCAATTTGACTTGGAAAGACCGTTGTATATTTTCTTTCTTTCCTGTCCCCCTCCGTTGAATCTCAATACTTTCAGGTATCCCATCAACAGGACGCTTTGATCAAGAGCTTTTCACTTTGCGACTTTCGTTACTCAGCCCTATTTTCATTTTTCCTCCCCGGGAAACAATATTGGTCCTTGTCAAGATGGCCACCGAACTACTCCTCTCTCTCCTCAAAAGAAATGGCGTCGATGCTGCCGATACCTGTGACACTGGTAACGAGTATGATGGTCGAATGGGCCTCCGCATTTCATCTATCTTTGTCATCATGGTCGGTTCGATGATAGCCGCCGTCTTTCCTGTTCTAGCAAAACGCTTTGGCGGTGCCGGAATCCCACCCCAGGCATATTTTATAGCCAAATACTTTGGCTCTGGTGTCATCATTGCGACGGCCTTTATCCATCTACTCGCTCCTGCTGAGGAGGCTCTGACGAATGAGTGTTTGACTGGACCGATCTCGGAGTATTGCTGGGTTGAAGGGATCATCCTCATTACCATTGTTTTTATGTCCTTTGTGGAATTGATGGTCATGCGTTATTCGCATTCCTCTTCGAGTCATGAGCGTGGCATCGAGGATATGGGCGAGGGTATGAGTGACATGCCAGTAAAGGATGGTTTGGACCATTCCCGCAAGCATTGCGATACCGCGATGGAAAAAAGCGACTTCACATCTTCGGAAGAATATGCAGCTCAATTGACCGGCATCTTCATTCTGGAATTCGGCATTGTTTTTCATTCGATTTTCATTGGGTTGACACTTGCAGTGTCTGGTCCCGAATTTATCACACTCTATATTGTGTTGGTATTCCACCAGACGTTCGAGGGATTAGGACTCGGTGCTCGTCTCGCCACCATTCCGTGGCCAGAGTCCAAGAGCTCCACGCCTTACATCTTGGGGATTGTTTACAGTCTGACCACCCCTGTTGCCATTGCAGTTGGCTTGGGTGTCCGCAATGTCTATCCACCCACTGGTCGGGCGACGCTAATCGTCAACGGTGTTTTTGACTCTATATCCGCTGGTATACTTATCTACACTGGCCTCGTTGAATTGATTGCACATGAGTTCATGTTCAGTTCATCTTTCCGTCGGGCCCCTATCCGGGTTGTCTTGTCGGCATTTGCCCTACTCTGCCTCGGTGCAGGGCTAATGGCAGTACTCGGAAGATGGGCTTAGATGAATATCAGATGGAAGGGTTTTAGTGATTGGGTCATTAGAATTGGGCCCGACTTTCGCATGTATAAAGCAGCATAGACTCAGTGAGACTATTTATAGAATAAATAACATCTATCCTTATTTCCAGTCTATAGGCAGCTAGGGTAGCCAGTTTAAAGAATATCCAACACATTGACTGCCGGGGACGAAGCGTTGTGACAAATGCGTGATGGTAATAAGCATTGTCAGATTTGGCTCAAATCGACTGCCCGTATCAGGTTAGGTTCTGCGGAAGTCTACTTCCGGCAGTGAAATGGACTGACTGACACCTGATTTATCAGGCATTATTTGCCTGGCTGCCTACATAAGTAGCTGCACGTTTGTAGAAATTAGTTATTGACTATTTCTCTCTCTCTCTCTCTCTCTCTCTCTCTCTCTCTCTCTCTCTCTCTCTCTCTCTCTCTCTCTGGTCCCCAGTCGCTTTACCAAATACTCTAGGATTCGCTTCTATAGCAAGATCCGCTCTTCCTTTAATTCAATCAAAGGGTCGGGTTGGCCTGATGGTTGTCCTAGCGCGCATATGACTGTGCATGAGAAAGACACTTCGGCCAATGATATATCACTAGAATATTAAAAATACAATCTGTGCAGCTGATTTAACTAAACGGAGTAAGTCTTTCCAAGTGATGCTCAGCCTCACTATTTGATCTCGTAGAGCGCGCCAACCGTGATAGCCAAGCCGCAAGCGGCGAACTTGATTTGCTCCAGCAAATCCCTCACTCGGTTCTTCTATCAGACTAATCCACGTTGTATGCGGGAATTTTGGAAAATACGATAAGCCTGGGACTATATAATGGAATTTGCCAGGCCCCTTGGAATTCTGCGTGAAACAAATCTGCCAGTTTAGTGCCATGTGGAAGCCGCCGATAAACTTTCTCGTCCTGCATTGTACGTCCATCGGTGTTTACACAACATTCCCTTCTAATTCTTTTTTACAGATCTGTGGATTATCACCCTCAGTGTTCTGAGCTTGGTTATAATCTATCCTTATGGTAATCTGAAAGCTATCGACGCTTATTTTTTCGGAGCCAGCGCTTCGACTGAGTCGGGTCTAAATACGTGAGTAAAACTATAAGTCGGCCAAACAAAGACTGACTTTCCATGGGTGTCAAGTGTCGACGTCAAATCTTTGAAGACCTACCAACAGGTATATATATATATCATTCCGATCCTAGGAAATTTGGGATTCGTCAACATCATCGTAATTGTATTTCGGGTTCGATGGTTTGAAAAGCGCTTCAAAGCAATCGGTCAGAAGTCTTCCACCGCTGCCCCCTCCTTACTCAACGCCCATCCTTGAGAACTAACTTGTTTCTCCAAAATATAGCCCCGCATCTTTTGAGGCCAGAGGCTCCCCCCGAACAAGACGCAGAGGCACAGTTAAAGCACAAAAGAAGTTTGAGTGGCAACCATGATGAAGCCCCAAACAATCAATCTATCAGCCACGAGATAGACGACTCTGGCAAAGAAGGCGCGCGTGTTGAGACCCAAGACAAATCTTCGAGGTTGGTTTCGATGCCATCGAGCAACATAACAGACTCTCAAACGTAATGGGTACTAACTCATACACCAGGGTTTCCTTGGAATTGAACGACAAAAAAGCTGATGATGCAACGGTTGTGAATATCAATCCGACAAAACCAGCCATTACATTCGCTGAAGATCATCGGCCGTCTTCCGATAAGGATAAAGCTCTGTATATTCCGCCTCCGTGGAGACGTGAAAGAGGTATATAAAAACATACCTCATATCTTCCTCCGTTTCTCACGAATACTATACAGGTGCCTCGTTTTCCGAGATTGATGAAAGGCTTCATGATGAAGATGATGATGGTATGTCCCTGATAAAGTGGCGCCCAAGCCTAACTTTAAGTTAATCACTTCGCTAACTTGGTTCATAAAAGGACGAACCGAGAAAGTCCTTAGTCGTCGACCGACTACTAGAAGCATACGGTCTGGTACTCACACCCTTGAGCGGGTAGTAACCTCCGTGTTTATTTTGGGGGGCTCTTCTAGCTCTGACCGGGTGGTGCCAACAACAAAGCCGAAGGACATAAAACAGCTCGATTTGCCAAATATGTCCACACAAGCTACAATAGGCCGGAACTCTCAGTTCCACAATCTGTCTGCCAAAGATCGGGAAACACTCGGCGGTATCGAATATCGAAGCTTGAAGCTCCTGTTAAAAATTGTCATTGGATATTTCTTTGGTCTGCATCTCTTCGGTGCAATCTGCCTTGTGGGGTGGATTCTGCACGCGGATCCCAAATACCGTGACTACCTTGCTGAATGTGGGCAAGGCAATGTTTGGTGGTAAGTCGGCTCCATCAACCATAACCCACGATATAGTGGCTTATTTCGTTTACCGCACGATAGGGGCTTTTACTCCGCTCAGACGATGATTGACAATCTTGGCTTTACTCTAACGCCAGATTCGATGATTTCGTTTCAAGATGCGACCTTCCCAATGATCCTTATGAGTTTCCTTGCATTTGCCGGGAACACCTGTTACCCGTGTCTTCTTCGACTTATTATCTGGATTTTCTACAAAGTTTGCCCGGCCAAATCCTCGCTTAAAGATCCACTCAGATTCCTGCTCGATCATCCGCGGCGGTGTTACACGCTGCTTTTCCCAAGCGGGCCGACATGGATTCTCTTCGGAATCTTGTTCCTTATGAACTCGATCGATGTTATTCTCATTATTGTGCTGGACTTAAACAATCCCGCCGTGAATAATCTCGCCCCTGGTCCTCGAGTTCTCGCTGCTATTTTCCAAGCCGCATCGGCGCGTCATACGGGTACATCGACTTTCAACTTGGCTGATGTGAGCCCAGCCGTCCAATTCAGCTTGGTGATCATGATGTATATTGCAATTTTTCCAATTGCCATTAGCATCAGAGCCTCCAATGTTTATGAAGAAACGGCGCTGGGCGTGTATCCCACTGACGGTAACACAGACGAGCATAACGGCCGGTCTTACATTATCAATCATATTCAGAACCAACTGACCTTTGACTTGTGGTACATTTTTCTCGGCAGCTTTTGCATATGCGTCGCCGAGGCCGGTAAGATTGCAGATACGTCAATTCCAGTAAGTGATCGATCTCGAATTTGGCGATGATAAAAGTTAATCCATTCAGGCCTTTTCTGTATTTTCTGTGTTATTCGAAGTTGTCTCCGCATAGTGAGTTATCCATACGGTATTTACTCCTTTTGCATTGACTAATTTCGATGAAGTGGCAATGTTGGACTTAGTCTTGGGTTTCCAACCGTTTCTACCTCTCTATCTGGAGAGTTTACGGTTTTCAGCAAGTTTGTCGTTTGCGTGATAATGATCCGAGGCCGTCACCGTGGATTGCCCTACAAGCTCGACCGTGCGATTGTTCTCCCAGGCGAACGCCTAGAAGAAGATCACTCAGAGAGGGATAAGGTTCAAACCAAGTTTGACTGAAGGAAGCTTCATGAGCCTTGCTCGCAAATTTCTGTACGACAATGTTATGCTAGGATCTTTCTACTATTATATAAGGATTTGGGGACTGATAAAGAACTTGAAGTTGGCTTTATTTCGGACGAGGATACGACGCGGTCGTCTGTCAATGCAGTGTTCTCGCGCTTATATTATCGTATTCGCTCCATCAAAGCCAAGAAACGAAAACGCAAGGTTTGGGTCAATATCCCCATCAAAAAGATTGAGCGGATCCCAATAATGATTCAGATGTCCGCTTCCATCTCTGTCCGAGAATAATGGCTCCATAGCTGCTACATCAGTTGTTATGGCTCTTGCTTCCGCCTTCTCCTTGGCGCGACATAGCAGTTTTGCAGCTTCAAGAGCATAAGCACATTCGTCCATTATCAATAAAATCTCCACAGCCATGTCAATCAGTCGCAAGAGGGGCTGGGTCTCTGTAGGAATTGCTTCTTGCGCAAGGTAGATGAGGATGGTGCTTGCAGCGAAAACGGTGTACGTGACGTTATAGAACCTATTGCTGGTTCAGTATTGGATAGTAAAATATTGAGGTCAGCACATACCATGTTCTGAAAAAGTCACTATGTTGATACGTCTGATAAATGAGATCGATGGTATGTTTGGCTGAGTCCAGGCATTTTTGGACCCCTTCTTGAGACCCGGGAATTGATGCTCGATCTTGAGCTGTGGATCTCAGAAGAAAAGATCCGAAGAGAAGTATCCTCAAGTTGTAATATCCTATGTTCAGTTAATTAGATATTTCTCTGCAGGAGGCTCAAGGACGGCTGACGAACTTAGTGACAGCACCAATCTTTGTCTCTTCATCCATTGATGATCCCTGGCTTTTCTCAAAGAAGGTAAACTGCCAGACAGCTCTGTTGGACGTATCTCCTCTGGGAGCGTTTGGACCCACCGCTCGAGATTGTTCTCAATTCGGTACGCCAAATGAACTGCGCTCGGAACTGTTATACCTGAGAGATAAATGTTTTGGCAGATATCTTTCGTGATTCTCGACAAATCTACCATGCATTTTATGATAGAACAAGAGGGATGTTCTAGCATCTCACAGGTGCCACTGTTATCGACAACCTCTCTGCTTTCTGTTATTGGGAATCGCCGGTTATGATGCATATCCGCCCCAAGGGTGTCTGGTCTACCCATGGCGAAGGATATTTCACTGCCGATTAGAGTTAAAGGAGTAGCTCAGTTGAGTAGCCTCAAGGCATTTATGGGGAAGGTAACGCACGTTTCAAGAGAGTAGAGGCCCCTTGTTAGGAAACGTTAGTGTTCATAGTGAATTGGATGTTGACACGAAGTAGAAATGAGCCAAAGACTTACCACCATGTTCTTGATTCTGCCTTTCGCAAATATGCGGATTTCTTTACATTCGTTGCAGGCTCTCGATTAATGCCCATGGCTAGGGCAGTCCGTATGGCAAGACCGACATACATATACGACACTGGCAATAGTAAGTAAGCCGGGAGGTAAAACTACAGAAGACTTCCACTGACAGTGAGGATGTAGCTCATTCTGGCACACCTTGGCCTGCAAGTTGTTAGCTGCGACAGCGACGATATTAAATGGAGAGATATACAAGCATGAAGTAACATTGAGTCATCTCAAGGTCTGTCACCATTCCTATTTGGTTGCAGCAGGCTTTGGCTTTCTCGAAGAATTTGCGGCTCCATTGCAGATTATCGACGCCATCGATAGGCTCATCATCTCTTATACCCACGAGCGCACCCAAAGAGAGAACACTAAAGTACAGAGCCGTGAAACTTGAAAGCTGCAGGCCATCAGCTTCGCTTCCAGAACGCAGCACCTCACAACGCTGCAAAAAGGTAGGCTTGTTGAGAATGGGGTGGACATAGTGGATAGTGGTGAAGAAGGCCTCCAAAAACCCACGACATTGTGGGAACCAGCTTGAAGTATTTGGGTAGTCGATCTCCCTGTAGCTTTTACGAGTTGTTTCAAATTTTGCTGGCCCAAAGGCAGGATTGTGCAAGGTGGAAAGAAGAGAACTCGCGTCACCTCCTTCAGACTCATCCCCAGTGCGCTGGATTTGAGAGAGAAGAGCCACAGAAGATGAGCTGCCGTAGAACTCAACATCTCGAGTGTGTGAGTTGACACCTGATAGTTCTTGTTGACCACTCTCCCAGGGCGATGTGCGACTTTGCATTGGATAATCATCGTGGTTGATCCCGGGATGCTGTGTAGGGTCGTGATCCAGAGTAGAAATCCCGGAAGTTGTCCCTGTCGGTTTACCGCTGATTGTTTTCGCTCCTGTTGCTTCATAGGCCTCGATGCGGGAAGAGAGATCCTTCACCTGAGTCTCAAGCTTCTTCACGTAGCTATGGAAAGGGATTAGGATAAATTACAGACCTCAGGGTTGGCGAGAACATACTCTGGCGTGACCCGAAGCCTGGACATATTCTGACCCTTGTACACACATTCGACACCTCGAACTTGTACAACTGTCAGTTGACGACCTGAAGCTACTTTGGGGGGGGGCAATGCTGAATATCATGGTAAAGACCAACCTTTGCAGTAAGAGCAGGGGTACAATTCATCGCATTTGTACTTTTTCTGCCTACAGTAATCGCAGGCACGAGCTGCCCGAGGGCGCCGAGTGCGCTGGCCTGGATTCCTCGCCAAACGCTGATGGTTCGGATCCTCCATTTTGATACGATTCGCGTGAGAGTTGACTGCAACAGACAGCCAAAACGATAGCTTAATAAATGCCGTACCAAAGTCTTTCAAGATGCATGACAAATTGAGATTGCGTACATGTCGACCTTAACTCCAGATGAACAGAGCTTCTGATGGTTCACGCTTCCATCTCGTCAAGTTGTGGGGATAATCCTCGAGGGCCCATCACCGGAAAAGCCGAGGGAATAGAGTAGAAGGCGGGGAATGTGGAGCATCCACACGCCGACATATCGGGTTTTCCGGCTGCTGGCCAAGACAGGTTTTAATTGAGAAGATTATAGTATATATATCTCTTTGATAGAAGGATAGGTTTCTCTCTTAATTCTCAATATCGTTCTTCTACATAATAATGGTTAGTATGCAGCTGCTTTAGCAATTGAGTCGAGGAGATTTTCCATTCTGACTGGCCTCTCTTTGATAGCTTCACTCTACAGATATTCAGAAGAAATCAATCATTCAACTAGATGTCATTATTGTCGGAGCAGGCCTTGCAGGTCTCGCTGCAGCGGTGTCAATCTCCCTGTCCGGTCACCGGGTGACGGTAATTGAGTCAGCCAAAGAACTCCTCGAGGTGAGTCAACTACCCCCGTTGATTAACCTAGTTATAAGACTTACTTCCAACCATTGCAAAGGTCGGCGCAGGGTTGCAAGTGACTCCCAATTGCACTCGCATCCTCCAGAGGTGGGGGCTCCCTGACAGACTATGGCTCAGTGCCGCCGAACCCAGCGCTCTGATCGTGCACCGCTACTCAGGAAAGGTGCTTGCTAGAGAGGATAACTTCGATAAGAAAATCCGTAGCCAGTACGGTGCTCCGTTCATCGATTTACATCGCGTTGATCTGCAGCTCTCGCTATACGAGAAAGCCAAAGGGCTAGGTGTTGAGTTCAAACTTGGGGAGAAGGTTATTAGTGTTGACTTCCACTTGCCCAGCGTGACAGCTGAGTCTGGTCTCACAATGAGGGGCGATCTCGTAGTCGCAGCAGATGGATTATGGTCACGGTGCCGCTCAAATCTTCTTGGGACTGACGATATGCCTCGACCGACTGGGGATCTGGCATATCGGGTCGTCTTAGACCTAGATCAGCTCGATGACCCTGAGCTTAAATCCTGGGTCAACAACCCGACTGTTCATTTTTGGATCGGGCCTGGGGCACATGCTGTGGGCTATTCTTTGCGCGGTGGTATGATGTATAACATCGTCTTACTCGTCCCCGACGATCTTCCTCCTGGAGTCAGTCGAGATTCTGGCTCAGTCGAAGAAATGCAGGCACTTTTCAAGGATTGGGACCCCCTCCTTGGAAGATTTCTGAGTGTCGTCGACCAGGTTGACAAATGGAAGTTGATGCATAGTCTGTTTGCACCTTTCTCGATACCGTGATGAGTTGGAAGCTAACAAATTGTGCTCATGTTAGGGGAGGAACTTCCTTCCTGGGTCAACGAGAAGTCAAACTTTGTTTTTGTGTACGACCAATTCCGTCTACTCCCAGCTCCTGATGATGCAATTCTTCTAACTCATACTGTCCTTGGCCTCTACAGTGGCGATTCTTGTCACCCAATGCTACCATATCTAGCCCAGGGCGCTAACTCAGCTGTTGAGGATGGTGCAGTTTTAGGTCTGATCTTGGGTCACTTGAGATCGAAAGACCAATTACCCAAAGCTTTGAAGATGTACGAAAACTTGCGCAAAGCCCGTGGTGATGCTATCGTCAAGGAAACTTTCAAGCAGGTAATTATTAACCGCTGAGACTTGATCCATAGCTATAAAAACACGTTCTCTGACCAGCTGTATGATAGCGAGACTCTTTTCACATGGCAGACGGCCCAGAGCAGGAAGCACGAGATAAAATATTCCTATCGCAGCTCGGCAAATCGAAGATCCAAGGGTCCTTCCCTAGCAAATGGACTTGTCCCCAAGTTCAGCCGTGGCTCTATGGCTATGATGCTTTTAAGGTAGTAGAAAATGCCGTTCTGGAGTATCCATTCATGTTGGATTCATGCTGTACGGATTAACGCCTTACTCCGTTATACGGTACTGGCCACGAAGCTTCTACCGAGTGTATATACTAAGTTCTGTTGCTTTTTCGCTCCTCTCATCCAACCTTTGCGGTAAAAGTGATGCACAAACCATGAGTGTGGGCAGACTGGGGACGATAACATTAAAGCACTGCTAATTGAGCTTTGTTTCTGAATCTCACGTATATTGTAGTATATTTAAATCAGCGACTCTAAAAAGTCAAACCCAAGACGCTGGAGCTCCTACGGGCGACTATAGGGATTACTGTCACATAACTCTCATTGGATGTAGTTACTAGTAATATTGAACCTAGATGATGCCTTATAATGCCTAAATACCTAGATTATCAGGTCAATGATATTAATGCCTTAGATAATATGTACCTGACGCTATTCAAATCTCTTATGATACCTATACATAGAAACATGATCTAGTTATATGGTTTATGTTTTTGCCGCCTTTATATATATATGAAAAAGACATATAAAAAGACATATAAAAAGACATATAAAAAGACATATAAAAAGACAACTACAAAGACCCTAAGAAGAACATCTAAAAAAGAAAATCTAGTAAGATGTCAGTGTATGTAAAAGAGAAGTTGGAATTAATGTGCCTTATTTCAAGAAGGTGTAAGGCACTAGCCAATGAGAGAGTTAGGTGACGATGATCCCTAGAATGGCCCGTAAGCTCCCACGTTGGGGATCCAACCTGCATCTTAGCAGCAAAAGGTAAAGATCATCGCAGACCGTTCTGGTGGTGGAGATATCTGTACTTTTTTTTCAAGACGCTAGCCAATCAAGGCAACGGTGGTCTCGGGTTGAAGTTAAATCCTCCAATATGCTCACGGAATGGCGTCCGGCAGGTTCGAATCTTCACCGTGCATGATGCGGAATAGTGGCTCCCATACTGTGACAGCCCGCTTTGTGATATGGCCATTTCCTGGTTCGGGCAACTGGTAGTAGATCAGCTTGTCGGCTGAGCACTCTAATAGCTCACCCGCCATGCCTGTCGAGTCTTCTAAAAAGGTTTCATAACCTTTGAGAATGGTCTGCACAGGGGTAAGACTAAATCCAACATGATGTCAGTATTCTGCACCGATTCTCGAAGGCGACACAAAATTTTACCATTCAGGAGTGACGGCGCGAATCATCTCGGGTGGCACAATGGGCGTGCTCACAATCCCCGGCATCACGCAATTGATAAAAATATTCTCCTTTTGCTTTAGCAACGGAGCAACGCCCCGTATGAAGTGGTTCACTGCAGCCTTGGAGCCACAGTATACTGGATACGATTTGTGGGGGAAGATCCCGCCAATACTACCCGTGACGACAATGCGACCACCGGGCTGGGGGTTATGGCGCATGAAATGGATTGCCAACTGGGTGCCATACACAATGCCTTTGTAGTTGATGTCCACAACGGACAGATCTGGTGCTGGAGGGATGTTGTCGACGCTGTTGTTCTTCGAGTCGTAGATGTAGATGGAGGACATATCGACAATACCGGCATTGGCACATAACGCATCAATACGACCCCAGAGCTCATGCACTTTGGTGAATACACGTGCGTACTCGTCGTAGTTGGAGACATCTGCGGCAAAGAAGCGCGCTCTGTCCTGCGGCAGATCCTTCAGGAGGGCTTCACCGGCCTCGTGGCGCCGACCTACGCATGCGACTTTCCATCCTTTTGCGATGAGGTCCTTGGCGAGGTCAATACCTATCCCAGACTGTAATATCTCTGGTTAGTGACTGATAACAGGCCATGTGTAATCGGTTACGTTTTACTGACAGTGGCCCCTGCGACGATGGCCACCCGGTTTTCTTGTGAGCTCATAATATGAGGGGAGACGTGATAGTGTTTGGCAGTTAATGGGGAAAGAACTACTTCGAGAGAGAAAAAGAAGGAGAAAATACCGGGGTCATCGACAGTTATTATATTGTAGTGGATGTTAGCGCGAGACGATCCTGAGCCCCTGACTTTTACTTCGTGCAAACTAACTATCCCATCTTTGTGTCTCATTTACTTGGCACAAAAAGAAATCCGTTACATTGATTACTACCGCTAAACAATAGAGATTGTGTCTACGAGGTACATCCACGGCATAAAATTCATATTTGTGTATCCATCCAGTCTGATTGATTCTCTAATTCTCTGATCTATTTCACCCATCCCCCTAAATTGAATATGGTACGGTCTTCACAAGAGGGCAGCCAAAATGGGTGATGTCTGATACTTGAGCCCCATGATTGATGATTGACGACCATACCGGACTTCGGGATTCTGTATGCGGGGATGAGGAACCTCAAGCTCTCTGTCCAATTCAGGACGGGAAAGTGATAAAAGAAGAATCCCGAACAGCAACAGGGGTGCGTGCATCCATTTCGGTGGCATTCCCGACGAGGTAGATTCCATTAGCAAGAACGGGTCCCTGGTCATACTCATACGGCATTGCACACTCGCGTTGTGTGCGGCGTATACCATAGATAAGCTCATTGGGTTGAACCAAGAGTTTTTTTCACACTAGGCAGTGCAGAGAGGAAATTGTTCCATGATGGGATGGCAACCTTCCAGAAGAAAGGCGCTGGCTGCTGTGTCAAAGTGAGGATATGGAATATGGACCTCGGTCCAGATAGTAGCAGCATTCATTACCAATTGACGTCGCTGAGCTGGAGCTTGCGGGAACGGAAGGCGGACCGGTTCGCGCCGGCTTTGTCCATTCGCTGGCCAGTAGGGGTGCGCTTTTCTTGGGTTGCTGCTTTGGGATATCTCAGTTGGAAGTTCTGCCGGTTAACCAGGGGATATTGCTCACTCTCGGTGGGTTCGGGTTCGGTCGACGCCTCGTAGTTCAGGACCAGGTTCTTGATGCGCTGCTGTTCTTCCCGATCGGCTTGTTGCTGGCTCCGCATGGCAATAGCAAAGGTCGAGTCCGATGGGAGATCGATGGTGCGGGTCTAAACATGATTAGCAATGTAAATAATATTTCGGATGTGGATGAAGAATTCTACCTGTTGCTTGTTTCCCTTCTTTGTCATTAGGGAAAAGGCCATTGTCTTGGGCGCAACTGGTTCCATCGGCACTGGCTCAGGGCTAGAATCGCTGGGCATGTTTTCGCGAAGACGTTTCATGGGAAGAGGGATATCAAAGACGGTTTTACGTTCGAACCGTCTCGAGTCCATGCTCTCGGCCATCATCTTTTCGAATTCTCGATCAAATTCAGCCTCGGTTACTGGGTCTCGCTCCTCTTCCTGTCTAGTGACAACAATTTGTTCGTCCTCAGACTCGCTATCACTGTCGTCGTTTGCCTCCGGGTTGGGTCCAGACGCCTTCGACGGGGGAAACGGGTTAATGGGTCGTACTTCATGGAGACAAGATGGGGGACCTACTTCGGCCTCGTCGCTGGATTCCTGGTCTTCGTCTATTTCGGGGATAGCATCCTCCTCCAGGTCCTCATCAGAAGAGCTGCTCTCCGCATCTTCTTCATCAGCTTCAACCGGTCTCTCGGAGTCCGGCACATTGTAGTTCAGGGCAACGGCTTCGCTGAAAATCCGAGTCGCTTCTTCACCATCGGTGGCAAGCTTCCACTGCGGGCGAATACAGTGATACGTATCCTGGACAAGGAAGTCGACATCCATGGGCAAGGGATCTTTGGTAAATAAGTAGTACTGGAAGAACGCAAGGAAGAAATCCAACTTCTTCTTGGCCGAGCCACGGTCGAAGCAGTGGCCACAAGTATCAAGAAGAGTGCACGCCAACCGCAAACGGAAGTAGTCGTCCGGCAGGTCCAGCATACTGATTTTTCCAGGGGCCGGGGTACCACCTTCATGGCCAAATGTGATAATGCGGTACAATGTATCGAAGATCACGGGGGAATCGATCATCTTGTAGTTGTAGAGCTCACCTAGATATTTGATTTCAGCAATGCGTTTCTGGTTAAACTTGAAATCGTTCTGCTCGAGGCCAAGCGTGACCTGCTCCAGCACGTTGTCGACGATGCCGATCACGAAATCCTGGTGGTACCGGTACAAAGCACTGACAAGAATTGCCAAAAGGTGAATGCTGCCATATTTCACCTTGACGGGTTTGCTGAACACGCGTTCCAGAATCTCGACGACCTCCCGTTCTTCCCAGTGAAGTTTGCGGACGGATTTCAAGATCTTGGTGTAATTTCGCTTGTTCATATCCAAGTAGATTAGTCGGCGGATGTACTGCTCCATGGGCGTACGTTCCTTCTGCTGAATAGCCGGACGTGGTGGCGGATCAACGTAGTAGATGGCATTTTCGATAACCATCCGCTCCTGCTGGGCCAGATGTTGCACGGTCTTCTTCCGACTCAGGGTCTCGAGGAAAGAAGCCATCCGGGGTGATGACTCGGGGTTGCGCAGAAGGTAACGGCCGCAGTTCTCTAGCAAATGACCGATAATTTCAATGTTCATGCGCGAAAATTCGTCAAGCGAAACCTTGAAGCAATGGAAAATGATATGCTCCGGAACGACACCAAACTTGGTCAACTCAGCTAGATAGCGAACATTGCTCATGCGTACTTGACCGAGGAATTCCTTGGACTTACGCCGCTGCAGACTTCGGAACTCTTCGTCCAGGTATGTGGTCAGTCCCTGTGGAATATCTGGCAGGTACTGTCCAAGCGTTGCCACCAAGCGAGAATATAGAGGCAAAAGATCAATGCGACCCTTGGGGATGTCCGATACGGCTTTGACTAGCCTGTTTCGTGATGCTTTAGAGTTGACCCAGCAGAAATCGAGAGCAAACTGGTCGACTTGATCCTTGGTTTGCAACTCGGGGAGCTTGGCGAGAAGGGAGTCCACCTGCGCACCCACAGTCTTGCTGGCAATGGCAGTTGACTGGTCATCAGCCTCCGCAGCAGACTTCTCGTCCAAAGCTTCAGGGTCTGCGGTTTCGCCATCTGGTTTCCTTTTACCTGACTCTTCGCCTTCGCTCTTCTTCTTTTTGCCATCCTCGAGCAAGACCGCAGGCACCTTGCCCTTGAGATCGACCAGATTCTCGTAGAAGCGTCTTTCCTCCTCGTCTTCCCAAATCCCGGCACCTTCGCCTTGGCCTCGTAGGTAATCAGTGGTCTTCACAAGGCCAATGCCACCACTAGCAGAAGGATCGGTGGGTTCCTTCTCGGCTAGATCAGGCATGTCGGTTCCCAAAGCCTCACACAGGACCTGAGTATTGGCCACGAGCTTCTCGAGGACCTTGGACTGCTTCTCGAAATTAGCCTGGCGGTCCTCAAAGATCTCGCCGCTCTTCACGTATGCTTCGGCATTTCGGCGGTTTTGCTGTGCCAGCGCTCTCTGATCTCGAACCACGTGAGCCTTGACATCCTCAAGGTACCGGTTCAAAATATTTCTAAACCGCTGCTGAGTCTTCTCCGGGGTCAGGGGCAGATCGGTCTCCGGTTGGGCATCTCCATTGGTATCCGTAGTCTGGTCGTCCGCGCCAGAAGTCGTAGTGGCGCCATCCGCCTCGACGGTTTTTCTGCCATCTTCGGCAAGCTTTGAGCCGACGATATCCCAGCTGAAACTCTTCACAAACAAGACTGCAAGAGGCAGGTTCGTATGGTCACGGTCATGACCGAGCAATTCCTTCAGAACCTCCAATGGGAAGGGGTCTGCCTGTTTATCCTGGTCCTTCGCACCCGCTGCGGGAGTCTTGGCTTTCGGCGGCGCATCGGACGGCTTGTTCCCGATCCCAACTGCACCCTCTTTGCCCTTCGCCCCCAGTTCCTCGGGTCGCTCGACGTCATCGAGGGTCTTCAACACATTTACCAGCCAAAGCTCTGTAACAACGCGGAGAAGGACACGGTGCCGAGACAGACGTTCTTTCTCTTCGCGTTCGCGGATCTCCTGGCTGAGCGCCTTAAGCTGCGCTTTATCCGGTGTGCTCAGTCCCCGGCCGAGCAGCCAGCCGATCTGCCGTGTAAATTCCCAAGGCCCGAAGCGCTGATGCAGCGTACTAACAACCTCCACTCCAGCGGCAATTTCTCCAGGGGATTTGAGCTTGCAGAGGCCTTCGTAGCAGGCAGAAATGATCTCGGAAAGGTACTTGTGGAGCGAGAGGGTGCTGATATCAGCAAGGAAAGTGGAAAGGGCGGAGGCACTAATGCCAGTGCGTAGACGTTTGATGAAGGCAGTGTTCTTTTTGAGCGCTGAGTCTAGGGACTTGCTAGTGGAGAATACATCTGGTTGCAAATTGTTAGAATCACCTCGAAAGTGGGCTGCAATGATATTTCGTCATAAAGGGAGGCAGATGGGATTTTACCAGATTCGCCTGCCCAGGCTCGCTCGTTCAGGTCGCGAAGCTCCCCTGCAATAAAATAGTCAAACGTCAGTTAATATCTCCAAGGTGAAGTGCAGTAGACCGTACTTTTACGTTGGCGATCCATGGCTATGTATCACAGGCTCAATCGTGGGGTCCTTTCTGAATGTCCGAGAGGAAAGCGCATAAGTGACGTGAATGCCACATTGGGGGAAAAGAGAAGATAGGAGAACAGGTCAAGCTCAAAGCTTTGAAGTGAAGAGAAGCTATGAGAGCAGGTTGAAGGTCTGAAGGTCTAAAGGTCTTTGGTAAGGTCCCAAGGCGGAGCGGAGGTGAAGGCGGACTTTTATTTGCTTATCCATTTATCCACCCGACAACTTCTTCTTGTACTCCAACTCAGTTACTTCCATCTAATGAGATCCTGTCTCTTGTTGTCATTCTTTTAATTTCAAATCCAAGTTCAATTTTAATTTTAACCTTTTAACCCCTTTAGTCATTCTCAACTTACTTACAACTCCATCATTCATTGCCCTCAAAACCCCCCACTACCCACTTCCCAAGGTCCCACCATGTGCTATAACCCTGCATCCAAGGACGATCATCGCAGTACTAAATGCTGTTTCAACCCATTCTAATCCCCACTATGCGCCTCTGTGAATCCCATCTCTTTTCCCTTCTCCGACCCGTGCAGTCGTTCTTGCAGCTGGTGCTTACGGTCCTCGTTACTCCAGCTATGTTGACGATTAAAAGTCGGCTTCCATGACTTCTCCAGAGATGTGTCTCCTCGATTGAGACCCAATGACCCAGTGGTATCGTTTGAAGAATTAGCATTCTGGGCGAAGGGAAGAATGATGGTGTGTTCTTTGCCAGTATTCGGGATTTGGCCCTGGTTATCATTGTGATTGTTCGATGCCATTCTGAGTGATGTAGGCGGATGAGTAAGATCCAGATTGGGGGAGGTATGATGCTTTCCAGCTACTCGTTTGGAGCTAGCTTCAAGTATTGTAGAAAAGGATTAAAAGATATTGTGAATCTGTGATGGTGTTCACAGCTCATCGGCTTGTCTTTTTATACCTCTTCAGTGGATATTCAAAATCCAATTGTGTGATGTGGCAATGAGTGAGATCCTAGTGGAATTTTCACAGATGATACGTTGTGAGGAGAACCTCCCACTAGGCACAAGGAAGTAGTTCATCTGCGTTCGGGCGGAGGAGGTGGGTATGACGTGCGGGTGGCGAAGACATCAGGCTATCTCCAGGAGTAGAACAAGTTATATGGTAAGGTTACAAAAGAGCATCATCAATCCCCCTAACACAATGATAGCAAAGCTAGCATTCTAGAGTTTGTCCAAGGTTGCGTTTGTACATCAAGGTTGGATATCGTTGGATATCGAGACAGCAATGGCAAAACCCTGCAACAAGCATTTGCTGTATCACCTTGCATCTAGGCGAGTTGAATGCTTTTGACTAAATGAGCCCAATATGCTCACAGCATGACTGATTATGATTACAATGCTAATTGTCAAGCAGATTTCATTCATTTCTGCTAACTGGTAAGAGACATGAAGACTGTCTAGGTACTACACCGTCATTCCATACAACACATTCGAACAAATATATTGAAATTGACTAGCTAACATACAAGTCGTGAGTGCGTTCAACCATTGGAAAGCAGACTGACAAAATGGCAAAACCAACGAGGCAAAAGCAGGAATAGGATACATAGTCCGCGAAACGCACATGGCTCGAATAGTGTCAGGAGACACTAAGGGTCAGCTGGCCAAGCATCTCTCCAAAGAGACACCCAACACATGAGAGTCAGTACCAGAATAACTGATCTCTAGGGCAAACAAAACGGCCAATGATGGCCAAAATAAACATGACGCGTTGAACCTCAACATGGGATATCCAAGGTCCAAACCAAACGATATACACGTGCTTTTTGGAGACCAGAAAATCGTACACGTCGATGCTATAACGAGGAAATAAGAAACAACAGAAACAAAACACAAAAAAAAAAAAAAACAAGGATGTTGATAATGACGAATTAAAATCAGGGTATGCCTCACGCCACGCTATGCGAGTCTCCCTAGCAGCCAGGGAGACCAAGAATCACTGGAAATATGTACGAGAAAGTCCATCCGAGAGCGGAAAGACATAGGAACTTTTTCGGTCAATGATTCATTTGGGCTTGCGCCAGAAGTATTGCTGGAAATAAGTCAGTGAGGGTCCAGGTACATTATATAGGGGGCATGGGTGTACTAACCTTGTGCTGCTTCCGACAATTGCGCAGGCCAGGCTTCCGAAGATCATCCACCACAGCAGACCGCCGCATAACATCGTCATCCTCATCGGGAACGTAGTAATACTCACTCTCAAGTGGCTTGCCAGCGGCATCCTTGCCTTCACGGGCAACTCTGCCAATAAACTTGGTTGATTCGAGAATGTTGCGGATATCAGACCTGGAGAGGCCAGTGGGGTACTCGTGACCGGACTTCCAATACGCGGGAGGGAGGTTGTTCAAGATGGTGGAGAAGGGCGTGGAGGACAGCCGGGAGAAGGCGAGTTGATTGGCAGCGTGGTTGCGGACTTTCTCAGACCGTTCGTCGGTGTACTGGGGCTTGGCTTCGGGAGTCTCAGATTCCTTATCCTCGTGGATGGTGGCTGGCTGTCTAGGGGACCGGGTAGGCTGAAGAGGTTGGGCGGGCAGCAGGCTGCGAGGAGAACGAGCAGTCTGAACGGGGGAATCACCCGCCCGGAAAGAAGCCATACGAGGAAGAAGGTTCTCTCCGAATGGCCCGAAGGAGTGGATGATAGGATCATTCTCTTCGTCATTATCGGAGAACTCTTCAGATCTACTCAGATCACTCAAATCGCTTGCCCTTGAAGTGTGAAGCATAGCAGTAGCACGACGGGCACTTTGGGATATCACCCCAGTGACAGTGTTGTGACGCTTCAGTGGAGAGGGCTCATCCTCAAATACCACTACTGGAGCACGAGAACGAGAAGGAGTGAAAATTGGCGAGGATGGGGGATGGCATGCTGAACAGCAGGCGAAGGGGAGACAGGCGATGCCAGACGCTGGCGATCCAGGAGCGGACTTTCCTGCAGCTCTCGACGGGATTGGCGTCGCTGAGTCGGTGTTGCTTCGTCACTGGTCTGTTCCGAGTCGGTAGACGGGCAGTCCCTTCGTTCGCTGCGAGGCCATTGGACCAGAACACGAGCCTCATGAACATCTATCATGATATCTGCATCTTTAATGTCCGAGGTAAAGGTCTTGCCTTTGGCCAGGTCATATTTCCTCCCTTGGCAGTGAATCTTTATCCCATTCCATCCCATGCACACGATTTCGACCCTATCCCGATCGAATGGGTTCGGAGCCGGCTTATATGTAGCCTTGACATGAACACGAGAGATCATGCGACTAGCAGCGAGCTGGTGATGGCATGAGACACTGGATCTGCCCATCAGAATAGGCTCCCCACTCTCCAATAACATTATCGCCGGTACAGCAGACAAGGGCGCACGTTCGAGGGCAGCAGAGAAGGACCGTGGGATGGCGGGTCGGGAGGCAGCGACGCCAGGAGGAGGAGGCGAAGAGGACATGATATGGGTCGACGAGGTCGGGACCGGGGTGGGATACGTCGAGACATCTGGTTCGCGTGCTACACGCTTTTGAGGCCGAGGAAGGGAGGGCGACGAGCTCGGCTCAAAGGCAGGTAGTAGGGTTGCAGGACGTTTGACGCCCAAGATCGAGCCAACTCGGCTCTTCAACGGAGAGGACTCCATAGTAAAAAGGTGGGACGAAGTCGAACGAGCACTCTTACTCACGAAAAGAAAAACCTGAGTCGAGGTCGAGGACCCGCGTCTCCGCGTGTTATACGAACACAGAGAGGACCCTAGGGAATTTTAAAGAAGAGAAAGACGTCAAGGCCTCTCCCCTAGAGAGAAAAGGGTGTGGTGGGAGGAAAGAAATTGGTCAAGGAGTAAGGAGGAGAAGCATTGAAGAAAAAGGTCGAAAGGGTGTGTGGTGGTGGAATGCACTGGGGCGGAGGGTCTCGTCCTGCGCGGAAATGCACGCTTACAGTCCGAGACGCGTTCAATAGGCGCCAACCACGCTCCACTACAGATTCGCGATTTCAATTGTTACCTTTAGGTATTGTACAAATAGTGATTTGTAAATTGAGAGACGAAAACGTGAAAAGGCGCGAATTAAAGGTTTGTTTCCTCTTAAATTCGTGCGGTCAATTCTTATACACTGCGGCGCGTCCGCGTCTCAAAACACGTGACCCCACGCGAGACAGTAAACCGGGTTTAGGGATGTGTCAGGAATGGTATTCATGACTCCAAAACTGACCTTATTTCGCATGTAGCCTCTGGAATGGTTTTAAAAATACGAGGACAACTTCTTTTCCCTCCTAAATGGTCGGCCTATTCAAGTATCAGGATCCAATGGTGGAATTTAGGCATCTTCTCCAAACTCGTACATAGCTAATACTCTAGTACGAAGACCAAGATACTAGGAAGGTACTAGGGTATACAATTCATACAATTTCCAGCAGAAAATGCAAGCCCCCTAAACCCCCACTTACTGGCACGAAATTGATCACCGGTCACCCCGTCGCGTCTCCCAGCCATTTGCCCAACCCCAACCACCTTGGTATCATTTTGGCTCGAGCTTTACTCAAACCAAAAGGCTTCACTCCAAGGGCATTTGAGTCAAATTTCACCCTGACCAGTTATGAAAAAATAACAAAACGCCCTAGTTTTTTGCACTGGGCTTTTTGTTGACAAGTGGTGGGGCCTCGGCTAGTTTGATTTTTTGGTATGTTTTTTGGTATAGTTCACTTCACCGGTCTTCTAGAAACTCCCAGTATTATCATAGAGTTCTCTTGGATAATTTTACGTGTGGGAATGATTATATATGTTGTACCAGCTGTGGAGTTCTGCTTCTCGCAAACCCGATCCCCTTGCCTTATATATGGGTCTAACGCATGTGGTCTAATGGACGGTTATATAAAACGGTACTCCGTACACTACCTAGGTATGAAAATTATATTAATCGATAAGAGGTAATACAAAAAAAACAGACGTAATTGAGCAATGACCATTTTATACTTAAGCTCTACAGTGTATTTTTGCTTGTTAAATTGAAGTTTTGACCTACCTCCCTCCCCGAGCTGCAGGTATGATCAAGGTTGGTTTTGTACTTGCTTCTTAGGTGCTATATAATTTTATTTCCACTCATTTTTGCCATGCTGGCATCAACAAACACCTTTCGATATTTTCCGTGTTGACCGGCAATTGATCAAAATGTTGTTCCCCTGCGCTAACTCCAATGCTTCCCAAGGGAACAAAATTGTCTCATTGAAAATAATGCCAGAATTTAGCTAGCGAGAGGTCTCAGGTCTATGCCTTACCGGGGAGTGGGTGGACTTCGCCGTACTCAAATAGGAAGACCGTGTCTTGAGACTCTTCTTGAGACTGTCGCAGAGAATCTTGCTAAATGTATCGTCACTCGGGCGCGTAATATCGACCATCGTCAAGCACATACCAGCTGACCAGCTGCATATTCTTCGTAAAGATTTTGGCTTTGTTTGAAAGTCGAAAGAAAGCTGTGAGTGAGAAAAGATGACTTACTGACACCCAATATCTCCCCGTCGCAAATCAGGAGAAAGTAGTTTAAGCGGTCGGGCACAGCGTGTGTTGTAGGATAACGTCTGTGTGGCGCGGAGTGAGACTTGTTTGCATGAAGAACAACAACCTACGCATTGTTATCAGATGGGTATGGTTTAAGACCTAATCTTATATTCTAATGTTCTCATGAAGTATTAAGCCATTAATCTTTCCTCAGAATCTGTTATGCGGGGCTATACATCCACAAACCCGCCTCGAGCATTAGTTAGCACGATTTGTTAGGGCTTCGCTCTTATATATATTAGCACGTGATTAGTAGGAATCACGAATTTTGCAAGACGAGACAGGTTTCTTTCCACAAGGCTGCGATGTACATTATTGAATGGACAGTTTCTGTTGCCAATAGACATACTAGAAGCAATGACGCAACCATGCATGCTATAGCTACCCGGTGGGGTCATGCATCTGGCGTTTCATCATGTACCCGACATGTCATATACTCCAAGCGCTTGCCGCCACACTAATAATTAGCTGGTCCCTCACATTGTGGGGGACTTTGGGTAACTAGCTCAAATACAACGGTGCCTAGGTGTGTACATGCCACACCTTGCTGACTGGCAGGTTATGCGACATATGTTTCAAATAAGGACCGAGGGCCCTACATGGACTGTCATTGGAATAGATAGTTAGCTCTGGTGGCTACTTTATCATGGAAGAGAGATTAGGAAGGAAATCTGTGGAATGTCATTCGAAGGATGAAGAAAATAGTTTGAAAACAGACAGTGCAGATCTGCTGGACTAGATCACTCAAGAACGGCCAGCCGATGACCGACTGTTACAGAACCAGCTGTGTGCCATGATTCCCCCTGCTGAACCAAATCGTACACTCGAACCTTTCACTGCAAGCGAGGCATAGGATGGAACAAGACTCCAAAGAAAGGAGATCCAAGCTTCAGTCACCAGGACAAAGATGGAAGGGAAGGGAACGAGGGGTAGATTTGAAATCAAGAACTGATTGGTACTTGAAGATAAAGAAGGTAAATCTAACCGTCAAATAAAAAGATATCGCTCCCATCAATGTGCCTGACCAGGGGGTAAATGTGGTCATAAGAAAAATAAAACAGAAAATATGCAACAAGGATTGGATTCGGGCCCAGTCACATAAAACAAAATAGAACTTAAGATACACAGAAAAGAATAATAATCCTTCGAATAAGAAACCGTGAATATAGACAGATGCACGTAGGGGAATGAGATGAGAGCGGTAGCTCTGCTCGCCCTAGTGTAATTGAAGCATGGGAAGCTCATCGAATTTCGCGTGGCAGTATAAGGACTCCCGCCGACCAAAAAGCGGTTGCGACATTTAGTCGTAGAAGACGTAGTAGGCGTTGCCAGAGGTGACGCCGACCTGGGGAGAGATAGTGTTAGTATGAAAATTTGCAAATCGGGGAGTTTAGGACGAAAACTTACTGTGCAACCGCTGTTGCCGCTGATGGGACCGTTGGAGTCGTAGAACTTGCCGTCCTCGTAACGGCACTCATCGCTGAGGTTGTCACCCTCAAGCTTAACGTTGAAGTCGAGAGGCTTGTTGGTGGTCGGGGTGTTGGGGAAGATGGAGAGGAACTTTCCAGAGTTGGTGTAGCCGACACCAAGGTTGATGGGAGCCCAGTTACCGATGCTCTGGCTGCTGTCACCCCACTGGCAACCCTTCTCAGTGGACACACCCTTGGGGTTGACGTAGTACTGAGCGGAGGTGACCTTGCCCTCCCAGCGGAAGTATTTCTCACCATCGGGGCAAGTGAGCTCGTGGGTATCACCGGGGGAGGAGGTGAGAGGAATGGTCTCGGACTCGGTACCGGGGTAATCAGTACGGCAAACAGCAACGTTGTCGGACATCTCGTTCTTGACGTGGACACCGCCAACACCAGGAATGCAAAGCTGCTTGTGATTCTTGTTGGTGAGGTAGAGCTTGTTGTCGGCCTTACATTGAAGACCACCAACGGACTGGCCAGTGCTACCCTGGGTGGTAGGCCACTGGGACTTCTGGTATCCAGGTGGGCAAGCGTAGGAGCACATGGCACCGTGGTGGCACTCATCGCCAGTAACGGCGGTAACAATATCGCTAATCACATCATCGAGGAGACTGACGTACTGGATACCGGAGTAACCACCAAGACCAAGGTATTTAAGGGCGACAGCACCATACTGCGAAGGGAAGTCACCGCAGTCAATCTCACCATCTGGGAAGTCGGCAGTGAGGCCGGTGGCACCGGAGCTGCTCGAGCTGGAGGAGCTGGAAGAGCTGCTGGTAGCAGCAGCGGTTGTAGTGGAGCTTGAGGTGGGCTCAGCCGTGCTTGTCGAGCTGGCGGGGGTGATGGCAGCCGAGGTCACTTGGAGGACCGCAGGGGCAACGGTAGCGGTTGTTGTTGGGGTGGACGTGGAAGTCGAGGTCGGTGCGGCAGTGCTCGAGCTGCTGGATGGGCAAGCAGCAGCAACCTCAGAGTCCAGCCACTCATACTCATTGCTTGCAAGACCCTCGCAGGCTTCCTCAATGCTGATGGACTGAGGGCTGCCGGACTTAGACGGGTCCAATACGACGAAATCGTACACAACTGGGCCGGGGACCGAAACGGTCTCAGTCTCGGTAGCGCGCTTGTGGGCGTGAGCGTGACCATGGCCGTGAGCGGCCGCGAGGCCAGCCGTCGCTAGCGCGGCAACGGTATTTTGGAACTTCATCGTAGTGGTAGTGCAGAACTGTTGATGATAAAGTGTTAGTTGCGTCATAATCCATGTATAGTTCTTTTCGTCCCGTCGCATAGAGCAGTTTGGACGCGATTAAGTCTTTCCAACTCTATATCGCGTTTGTTGTGTCGCACAATCATACCCACAGTGCTCAGGTCGACACACAACAAACAATCCGCACCATACCACATCGCGACTTGCTATTGCAATACGTAGGGATAGATAGGAGATAGCACATACATTTTAAGGGCAGTCGCGCGCTTGTCGTAGAAGATCAATGGAGTAAAAGACAGCGGTTTTCAAATGAATGTGGAGAGAACGAATCCCTCTGGTGTGGGAAAACTTCGAGAAAGGAGAGCTGTGAGTGGAAAGACTGGGGAAGAAGAAGTCAGGGAGAGGAGACAAAAAGGAGGGGGCGATTCGGTCTATGTCCCAATAGCGTTAGCGTGATTGTCACGGGAAAAGGGGCAGGTACGGGATACAACTTGGAGATACAAGCTGTCTTACACTGCCTACCTTGGGAGTGGACCTTGGACAGAGGCCTGGATGCTACTTGCTTGCTTGGCATATACAATATAAATATTTCCAAGAGATCATCCCATGTTGTACGTACTTATTACACGAAGCCATACGGAGTACTAGTCTGTATATTTCTCTTCTTCCCGATCCACCTGAGTAGTTAGTTCTATAACGGCCGTTGGTCCAGGCAGTTCCTTTTTTTTTTCCTTTGTTTTGTTTACTCCACGCGGCTTGGCGTTAAAACGAGATTAAAAACTGCGAGGGGAAACCAATCAGAGGCAAGGATTTCACCTGTTTGGGCCCCAGAATTCAGGTACACCAATCAGTATTTACTTGGCCCTGCCGAAATTCCTTCCGTATCCATGGGTACTCCGTACCAAAAAAAGCCATTTGGATTATATTATTCATTTCAACCGAAGTCCTGGTTAAGTATTCTTCTGCTTTGTTTAATTCTTTATGTTGTACTTGAATACGGAGTACGGCAATTTATTAGAGCACGCTATTGAAGTTACTTCCCCCTTATACGACATAAATGTTGCGATAACAACCCCGCCAGGGGTAATTGTAGAGAGACGCTTAGAAGACTATCACCCCCTGACAGCCTGACCTGACCGATCTACTTCCGTACCTACCCAGATTTCCAAGACTTAGAGTACGGTGTGCGTAACCAGCAAGGGCTTTCCCCTGACGGCCGGTACGGAGTACTAACGCTCGCTCCCTCGTCCGATTTGTATTCCACTTTAACTAGACTCAAATTCTAGCCTACCAAGATCAAGTTCGATAATAATATACAAATCTGACCTGCTCATGTCGTCGCAAATTAAAATTAAATATCAGCCCACGATATAAGTACTATATAAATACTGCCAGAGAATCAGGAGGTACGGAGTATACGGGGTACCTATATCGGAGGACCGTTATACCCCCTATATAGGTACTCCGTACTCCGTAGGCTTTTCAGCTATAATCACAATCCGTAGTGATGACGACTCCGCGCTTTCAAATTCTAAATTCACGCATTTCTCCATATTCCAGCCCTCTCTAGCAGCCGAAAGTTACTCCGCCCATCCACTTTTTTGATAATCGATCAGCTAGTGGAACAAAGACAGGCGAGCTAGAAGCCGGCGGACTCGTCGATCCACAGCAATCTTAATCCTAATGTCTGGACGATACGGCTTTGTCCGCGTCATAGCACGCTCTAGCAGGTCTCTAGAATTACACTAAAATTACACTAAATGTATTGTTGTATCAATAACCATTCGATAGCAGCACCCACGTTCTCCTCGTTCTCCATACAATAGCCAAATTCGGCCGAGGCGGGCATCTGATGAAGACATGCTTTTGTCTTGACGTGCAATGCTACTCGAACTACTCCGTACAGTTACTACATGTATATCCAAGACAACACTCAAAGCCAACCCCAAGACATCATAAATTTCCGGGTACTAATACTCAGTTCCACAATCCTCCGTTCGATCCGATTTTTGTTTTAGCTGGTGCGTGCTGCAATAATTGTAACATCGGTCGACCCGGTTCATTTTTCTCTACTTGGTGCTATTAAGCAGATTTCAGTATCGCTTAAAGATACTTGCGTTTGTATATTATGGGAAGATACTTGCGCAGCTCCCTGGGTTATCACGGTGTACGAATAATATTATAACTGCCTAGTATTTGGATATATATCATACTCTATTCTGCTCACTTTCAAGCATTCTAGTATATATTAAAACTGGAGCCTACCCACAGTTCGGCTCCTCGGTACCATCTTTCGTATCATCGAATTAATTTGATTTTGTATTGTTTTCATTCCGGATTTCATCTTGCAAATTATGAAAGTGCGCACCTGCAATACATAAGGCTATGATTGGTACCTAACTAGTTATACCTCTAGTTATGTAGTACTAGTACATATTCAGTCCTGTGACATCAATTGTGTAGGGTATACTGCCCCCGCTGTCCTTGACTTTAGTAATATGATCTGTTTGGCCCCAGATGATACATACTTATTAGGAACATTGAGAACACTCCGATGTGTCTCTGTGTCTTTTTAGATGTACGCGAAGGCGATAAAAAGCATAACACGTGCAGAGGACTTTTTTTTATACATAATCAGGGACAGCCACACAATTTGCAGCAGTACGAACCTCGCAATCTAGCATCTCACGGTCAATCCTGAAACCTGGTCTTACAATATAACTATGATATATTGTGGATGTGGTGGGTTTTGGCGGTGCTTCTATGCCTTGCGGCATGTAATTTCTCCCACTAAATCACCTCGATATCGGTAAAATAAAATCCACACATCTGGCTAGTTTAAATGTAACATTTGCTAGAGAGTACGGAAATACAATAGTTATACCTATCAACATAACTATGTTGTAACTACCTAGTTAGGTATACCATTACAACAATGGTCTGATCTACACAGAGATCCAACCCGTTGTCTATAAATAGTTACCCAAGTCTATCGCGACTTGGCACTCTACTTGTCAGGTGGCGATCCCTTCTCGCAAGATTCTTTTTCTGGAGAAGCGAGGGAGTATTCTATGGTGCATATTTTTAGATAATCCGAAACAGCCTCCAGGGCTAGGTAGATTGCGGTGTCGCCCAGCCGCATACAACATAGTTTCCACTAACGCATCTAATTACTTGAAACACGTTCATCAGCCACTCCAGAGTTACTCTGTATCCTTGCATACAATAAAAGCTACTACCAAAGGAGCATCAAATCAATCCTCTGTATATACTGTGAGCTGCGGCTGGAGAGTTTCCATATAATTCTCTCTAGATTTCTGACCGTAACTAAAGGATGGACAAGCCCCGCATTTGATTTCGCATGTCGCTATAGCTATCTTGCCCTTGGTCTCATAGATGGTTCAATCACCCACGTACAAAGAATGGTTGTCATTATAGCAAGGTCGGATCTGAAAATTCTGGGTGAACTCTCGGAGTACTTATCTAGGCGTAGTCTCTGCGAACTGGTAGGTCATAGTTACCCTTATCATTCACATCAAATTACCATGGATAATGAGCTCGAGTTGGCGCATCAGCGGACACTAGTTAGTTAGCTCATTTTTTGCTTTGGGCGTAATATGTATAACTTGTTGCCAGTAGTCATGGTATCGTTCCATCGCACTTTTTGTTGACCATTTAGAAGACGACATTCTTTACGAGCCCTGCGAGCACCTGGGATTTGTATACTTCTAGGGATTTCGATATGAGATATCTACACACACCGAGAAAGCTAATGAGGTCAACCTGTCATCGATTTATATGGCGATCGAGATTCGCATATAGGGGTATAACATGGGTGCGAAGCCATCTATCTAGCACTTATCGCTGTTTCGAGCCAACATAGACTTGGTTTGCTATATAAAAAAAAAATTAAGCCCACGAGATATTGAGAAAGGCGATTACAGCGGCACGATCGAGGCCTCAGGCACCAACTGGGGTCTGGATTGCCAAGCACGGATGAACTGCCACCGCCTTCCGAATTTTTTTGAGTCCCGATATGATTGCAAAAAAATTGGAGGTGTTCATCGAGTCTACAACTTGCTAAAATGGGCTCCTCTACTACTCAACTCACCTCGAAGGTGACCTCGGGTTCCCCTTACCAGCTTGATAAGCCCCAGGTTAGTACCGATGACTCCGCAGATCCAATTTCGCAAAGTACTTATCTTTAATTCAATCAGGCCCTCAAAGCTTCTACCGCGCTGCTGAAGCACATCAAGTCTACCCAGCAGGAACAGGAGAAGACCGCCACCAAGAAAACTCTTATTGGCGACGATGATTCCGATGACGAGGACAGCGCGACCAAGAGCGAAGCCATCTGGCTCGTTCTCACCACCAAGCAGCATGTGGTCGACAAGAACCGCCTGAAGCCCGGCAAGATCAGCATCCCCCACTCTCTTAACACATCTCCCTCGCTCAGTATCTGTTTGATCACTGCCGACCCTCAGCGTGGTGTTAAAGATATCATTGCCGACCCATCCTTCCCCCAAGGCCTTTCCTCCCGCATCGAGAAGGTCATTGGTTTCTCTAAACTTAAGGCCCGCTATCAGAGCTTCGAGAGCCGTCGCCAATTGTTCGCCGAGCACGATGTCTTCCTGGCTGATGACCGTGTCGCCATGCGCCTGGTGCAGACCCTCGGAAAGATCTTCTACAAGTCTAGTAAGCGCCCAATCCCCATCCGTATCGCCGAGATCGAGAAGGTGGATGGCAAGCGGGTCAAGAAGGACACCAAGAAGAACAACTCTTCCTCCAAGGAAGAGAAGGACGCCTCATTTGCATCCCCTCTTATTGTCGCCAAGGAGATCGAGCGTACCCTGAACTGCGCCGCCGTGCAGCTCGCACCATCCACCACCGCTGCCGTCCGGGTCGGTTCGTCCAAGTTCACAGCCGAGCAGCTTTCTGAGAATATTGCCGCTGTTGTCAACGGTCTGACCGATAAGTTCGTCGCAAAGGGCTGGAGAAACATCAAGGCTCTTCACATCAAGGGTGCCAACACCATGGCCCTGCCTATTTGGCTTGCCGATGAGTTGTGGGTTGAGGATGCCAACGTGCTGGAAGCTGCCCCTGAGACCGAAGCTATCAAGGACTCCAAGAAGCGCAAGTCCGCTGGAGACGGCAAGCTGCTTGAGGAGAAGAAGACCAAGAAGACCAAGTCTGCAGAGGATGAGGAGGAGGCTGCATCCGTGGCCGCGCGGAAAGAGAAGCTCCAGCAGCTTAAGGCCCAGGCTCTCGAGGATGGAGACACAAGCAAGCCCGTCGCAACAAAGACTGGTGGCAAGAAGAAGAGAAAGTCGACTTCATGATTGTTATAGCTCTTAATGTTTTCTGCATGTAAAGGTATTTCTGGCGTACAAAATATCACGTGTCTATTGTTCCGACAATTTATATTGTGCCAGTAATCAAGATCAATCTGACAGTAAACAAACTAAGCCATAGAGGCACAATATAACAGATTAGCTCTAGGCCTTTTTATGGCTGTCGCAGGCGTCATTTCGAAGAATAATCAGGCTATATTACCACCGCATTAACCGAGTCCGA